CTCACCTCAGCCTCCCAAAGGCGCGGGATTACAGGCTGAGCCACTGAGCCTGGCTGATAGTTGTACAATTATATAAATTTATTAAATCTCATTGAACTAGGTACTTAAAATAGGTAAATTTTATGTCATGTAAAATATACCTCAATAAAGCTGTTATAAAATAAGGAGTATAGGTGAGTTTATTGGTAGCAAGGTGAAATCACCACTAGTTTTTAGTCATGGGTACCTCTACATTATTCTTTTATGGAGCTCTTATTGTGTTAGAGAAGTACAAGATGAATTGTGAAATATTATAAATACATTGAAAACATAATAGTATTTGAGGAATAGGTTACAAAATCTACCAGAGTAGCATATATTATGCTGCCTACCACTGAGATAACAAAAATACTCTTGACTCACAATGAATGATACCTGGGTAATTGCATTTTTCATTTTAAAGTAGTTTGAGGCATACTGTATGATATCTTTTTGATGAATGTGGTAGATAGTCTCCAAAAAATGACCCCCAATAAGCCCCACCTCCCAGTGTTCACACCCTTTTGTGGCCTCTCCACTGGCCTTATGGCCTACCTTTGACCAGTAGAATGCTTCAGAAATGATGCAAAGGGTTTCATTTCCTTCTTCCTTCCTTCCTCCCTCCCTCCCTCCCTTCCTTCCTTGCTTCCTTCCTTCCTTCCTTCCTTCCTTCCTTCCTTCCTTCCTTCCTTCCTTCTGTTCTCTCTCTCTCTCTCTCTCCCCCCTCCCTCCTTCTTCCTTTCTGTTCCCTTCCTTCCCGTCCTTCCTCTCCCTCCCTCTCTCCCTCCCATCCTTCCTTCCTTCCTTTCCCTCCCTTCCCTCCCTCCCCTCCCTCCCTTTCCTCTCTCCCTCTTTGTTTTTTCCCTCCTTCTTTCCTTCCTTCCCTCCCTTCCTCTTTCTTTCTTCCTTCTTTCCTACTTTCTCTCTTCCTTCCCTCCCTCATCCTTCCTTCCTTCCCTCCTTTCCTTCCCTTCCTTTCCTTCCTTCCCTCTCTCCATCTCTCTGTCTTTCTTTCTTCCTTCCATCCCCTCCCCTGTCTTTCTTTCTATGTTGCCAAGGCTGGTCTCAAACTCCTAGACTCAAGCAGTCCTTGTGCCTCATCCTTCCAAAGGGCTGAGATTGCAGGCATGAGCCACCATGCCCGGCCAACTGCAAAGGATTTCTAAAATTGTGAGAAACGTTGCAGTTTCTGCTTTGGTCTCTTGGAACTTAAACACTGAGGGAAGCGAACCACCATATAGGAGATCTGGCTGCTGGACTTCCACACTGTGAGGAGGCCCAAGCTAACCACATGGACGTGGGGGAGGGACAGAGAGACAGTTAGAGACACAGACTGAGACAGTGAGAGAGACTGTTCCAATTAGCCCAGCCCAGGCTCTGCAGATGTGAGGGAAGAAGTCATCTCGAATATGTAGCCCAGCTTGAACCGCAGTTGACTCCCACCCCACTGAAAGCAACACACAAACGAGCTCAAGAGAGAACTACCGAGCTGAGCTCAGCCAATTCATAGATTTCTGTTTTCAGGCATTATGTTTTTGGATGTTTTGTACACAGCAATAGACAGCCCAAATGGAACAAGGTAAGGAAAGACTGTAGAAATTATATTTTGACTTCTCCAATTTGAAAGGTAATAAATTTATGCTAGACTAGGGGACTATAATAAAGTCCTCTTAATTGCCAGTCACCTTTTCTTTGAAGCTTTGTGTAACAGACTTTTTCTTTTTCTTTTTTTACATAATTTTTAGAGACTGCAGGCAGAGTGGAATTGTAACAAAGGTGTTTCAGGTGGACTATGAACCACCAGATGTTTCCTCTGAAGACAGTGTTGAAAATGTTCTCAAAAGCTCTTCAAAGCAGGCAAGTAATGAAACTATAATCCATCCTTATTGCCACTGTATTTTTGGTCCCTCCTTTCTCAGTGGGCACATCGTTCCTTTCATTACATGAGCTCTACTCACAATCAGGTCCTTATAATTGAAGTCAGTATCAACCATTGTGAAGCATTGTCACTGATTTTCCAGCCTATGGTCAGTTCCTCTCCACCCTGAAGATTAGAATTCCTACCCAGCATTACTGACTGTGCTTCTATGTTTTTCGTGGCTCTTTCTTACCAACTGAAGAAAGCAGAAACCTTTAGCCTGCCACCCACATAATCAGTTTCTGTCTTTGGGACAGGCTTTCTAGCTTTGCCTGTGACCCCTCAACAGTACTTTATCCAAGCTAAGCTGCATGTGCTGTGCTCTGTCACTGCTCCTTTTGCACCCAGGCCTTCTTTTATAAACTACTTTGATTATGGGATTGCTCTGCTCATTTCAGCTCCAAGGTGGCAGGGGACATGACTTCAATACTCATTGACTTGCACAGAGGTAGGCAGGGGAGGGTGATGAATATGTGTTTATTGAATAGATGTCTCAGGTTAGTAGAAGTCTCAATGGGCATAGATTTCTGTTATGTTGAAATCTTCATTTCCAAATATCTGCAAAACCTCATGTCTTTGGAGGGTCAACTAGACCAATCTAAGAAGGATGCTGGAAACTTTAGTCTCCAAGTGAGGGCATCAGTGAGAAGGGTTAAGGAGCGGGACTGGAGGACATACTAGCCTGTGGTGAGGCAACAAGCCAAGAGGTCTCTGTCATGGGGACCTTACTGGGAGTCGCATAGGAAGTTTGTAGTTTGTCCCTTAAGTCCAGCTATGGACCTGAGGCCAGAGAGGAGGGTATGGGATCAAAGCATTTGGGTGCAGGTGTGGGGTGGGGTCAAGTGTGATCAAGGCAGGGATCTACCTTTAAGCAGCAAAGTTTCTGATAACTGGGAAGGAATGGCAGAAACCCTTATCTCTGCACCAGGGTTGGACATTGAGGCTGCTCCTCTATATCAAAGTGACTTAGATCCTGCAGTCAAGAGTCAGATGTTTCTATCTTACCAATAGAATTTTAAGCAGCAAAGTTTCTGATAACTGGGCAGGAATGACAGAGGCTGAGTCCATCTGTGCCAGCAGGTGCTTAGGCTTGAATCAAGTGTAAGGGACGAGGTCCATGGAAAAGAACGTCCAGAGAGGCGTGTTTAGGGCATATGTGTGGGCAGGGAGTGTGCAGAGTCTGATCCTGGTCTGGCCCCACCCTATCTTTGCTCCTTGGATCTGGTGGTCCTTCTGTTATTACTCAGGTAGCCATGGTTGCAACATCCCGCCCACATGTGCTGCTCCCTGCCTCCTGTCTTGCTGCTTGACCTAGTGGGGCCTACCAGGCAGACAAGCTGCTGACCAAGCAGCCCAGCCCAGATACAAGCTACACATTTCCAGAGTGAAGTGAAACGGGTCACTTGGTAAAAACTTCTGTAGACCCTTTCAAGTAAGAAATGCACACCATGACACTGCCTCTATCATGTAACTTCTACTTTTTTCTTTTTTTTTTGAGTCAGAGTCTCACTGTTGCCCAGGCTGGAGTGCAGTGGCTGTGAGCATGCTGGGCTCAGGCAATCCTTCTGCCTCAGCCTTTCAAGTAACTGGAACTACAGGCATTCACTACCCCTACTATTTATTGTAGAGACAAGGTCTCACCAAGTTGCCCAGGCTAGTCTCAACCCCCTGAGCTCAGGCAATCCTCTCGCCTTGGCCTCCCAAAGTGCTGGGATTACAGGCTTGAACCTCCACACCCAGCCAACTTCGACTTTTCACATTCTAAATGGGTATAATCAAGTGATTGACAGGTAATCTTTTCCTTCCTAGGAATTACAAAATGGATTCATTGGATCAAAACTAAGGAGGAAATACAAGAATGCTGGAAACAAACCTAGTTGTAATGTTAATCTTAGCAAGTTTCCAGGTATGATATGATAGAATGAAGACAAGGTCTAATATTCTAAACCCATCATCCACGGTGTGTTCACTGCATGTTTTCTTGTCTGCAGAAGTGTTGGAAGAAGAAACTCTGGAACAGCAATGTAGGCTATAATTTGAATTTTAGTACTGCTCTAGCAAACAGCTTAAAACCATGAGGAATAATCAAGCAATCCAGCAAAGTCAGGTTTATTGACATTGCAAAGAGGAGACCACATACCAGGGAACCATGGGCATCCCATCAAGCAAGGAAAAGTTGGAATTAGAGGGGTTGAGTGAATGGTAGAATTTGAGTGAAATATAAATGACCATAGCTGGGTTGTGTGTGAAGGGGTTATCATCATGTATGAACTGTGAGGGGGCCCAGAGGATTCTGTTGCCTTGGAAACTACAGAGATGCACATGGAATGTTGTGTTCAGAAACCCTTATCTCTGCACCAGGGTTGGACATTGAGGCTGCTCCTCTACGTCAAAGTGACTTAGATCCTGCAGGCAAGAGTCAGATGTTTCTATCTTACCGATAGAATTTTAAGCAGCAAAGTTTCTGATAATCTATGATTTTAGAGAACAGGGTTTCTCAGTGAGTAAGAAAGCAGTACTCATTCAAAGAGGAAGCTTTTACAACATTTTACAGCTGCAATGTATCCTTGGGAACAATAATGCTTCCTGCTAACTGTGCCATTTTCCTAGCCTGATATGGAATGCAGCAGGGAAAATTATTTTCTCGTTCTGGGCTATTTTTTCTTTCTCAGTTTGAATTCACTGAATGGGATGCTCTTCACATACTTGTTACTTCTAGAGAAAGACTATCATGACAGTGGTCCCTTATATAAAAGGCTTCCAATACCAAAGAGATCTTTGTGTGAATGTATGTAATCACAAATGCTAACAAAACAATGTTTTTGATATTATAGACCTCAAGACAGGTGAAAGAACTGACCCCAAAGCTTTGAAAGATCTTCGCTTCTCAGAGAGTCCACTGGAAGGATCAGGTTCCAGACCCCCCACTCACCAGTCCCAGGTAACTTCTAAGGACAACCTTTTGAGTACTAATATACTTTCCATTTTATGTATGTATGTATATATGTATGCATGCATTTATTTTGAGTTGGAGTGTCACTCTGTTGCCCAAGCCGGAGTGCAGTGGCTTGATAACAGTTCACCGTAGCCTCAACCTTCTGGACTCAGGAGACCCTTCCACTTCAGCCTCCCTCATTGCTAGAACTACAGGCATGTACCACCATGCTCGGCTAATTTTTAAAATTTTTTTGTAGAGATGAGATCTCTCTGTGTTGCTTAGGCTGGACTTGAACTCCTGGGCTCAAACAATCCTCTTGCCTCAGCCTCCCAGAGTGCTGGGATTACAGGCATGAGCCACTGCACCCAGTTCTCCCATATTTTTAAAGTTTCCCATGAAATACTTTAAGGCTGCATCTCCCAGCTTTTGGACCATGTACTAGGCACTATTCCAGTGCTCCGAACACTGTGTTGGACAAGAAAAGTCCTGGATTCATAGATCTTACATTTTATTAGGGATGGAAGCAGACATATCATAAACAAATAAATAATCAAGCACATTTCAGACATCAGTAAGTGTGGCAAAAACGATAAAACTGGGTAATGATATACTACAGTGGTTCTCAAAGTGTGTTCCCCAGACCCACAGAGTCAGCACCACGTGGGAGCTAATCTGAAATGTACATTCTCAGGCATGATGAGCAGGGCAGGAGATGAGGTGGGGAATGGCTGGGGTCACAGCCCCCAGAGCTGGGCTTCTCAGCATGGCTGCATGTTATAGTCACCTGAGAAGCTTCAAGCCAATCCTGGGTGACCTTGGAAAGTCTGATTTAATTGGTGAAGTGGCATTTGGACATGGTTTTCTTTTTAAATACATCCCCAAGTGATTCGACTTGCTGGGCTCAGGCGATCCCTATACCTCATCTTTCCAATTAGCTGGAAAAACAGGCGTGTACCACCATGCCCAGCTAATTTTTTTGAGTTATTATAGAGACAAGATCTCGCCAAGTTGCCCAAGCTGGTCTTGAAACCCTGGGCTCTGGCAAACCTTTCGCCTGAGCCTCCCAAAATGCTGAGATTACAGGCATGAGCCACCATGCCCAGCTCCCGAGTGATTCTAATGGACAGGCATGGTTGAGAATTACAGATGCTAGCCCCACCAGAAGGAGTTGGGCTTTTATTCTAATTGTAAAGAGAATCTATTTGGAGGGTAAGACATGACCCCTTTACATTTAAAAGTTTTCTTTTTGGCTACCTTATGGAGTTTAGACTGTAGACAAGGAAGAGAGGACTATCATCCAGGGGATTTGCTCCAAGTAAGAGATGACAGTGACTTGGACCAAGGATGTAGGGGTGGTGAAGCTAGGAAGCAGAGGAGTCCAGACAGGCCTGGCTGAGGGATCAGATGGATGGGACAAGGGAAAGGGAAGAGCCAGGGCTGACTCTCAGGGATTTGGCCTGAACATCTGGAGATCATGGTACCATTGACTGTGACAGGGAAGATGAGAGAGGAGCAGGTATCAAGGGCTCATTAGACACCCACGTGGAGGTGTTGAGTAGATGGATGTTCAAGTTTAAACTTAAGGGAGAGGTCAGGGCTGGAGTTATTTGTTTGGAAATGTTCAGTATGTAGCTAGTATTTAAAGCTTTAGTCTGAATTAGACCACTCTCCAGGACTGTACAGAAAATGAAGAGAAGGTGGTATGAGACGAAAATCCTCAACTTAGAGGTTGGGCAGGGGAAGAGGAATCTGGAAGTAGGAAGAATATGGTGCCATGGAAGCAGGAGAAGGAAGTGTTCCAAGGAAAAGCAGAGGTCATCTCTGTCATATGTTACTGAAGATTCTAATTAGACAAGGACAGAGAATTGTCCATTTGATTTGACAAGATGGAGGTGACTTAGGACCTTAGAAAAAGCCCTATCAATGCATTCTTCCTCCTTTGACACAAGAAAGATATGCCTATTGCTACTAATATAGTGCTATGATTTTCAAATATTTATACAACCCAATTTAGACTTTTGACATCTAAGAATAGCCCAGGGGCCTTGCTCTCTTTATTCTCTCTGAGCCCCAAGTGACTCTGTAACTGGAGACATAGTTTTGATCTAACCACAACCTATCATCAAGTATAAAGGTGGCCAAAGGAATGGCTCCCTAACCTGGTTGTATATCAGAACCACCCAGGGGAAACTTTGAATGTACGTATGAGTTCCCAGTGCCCCCTCCTGCAATTCTCCTAGATCGTCTGAGTCCATAAGCCTGGGATCTAGTCCACAGATGACTTTGATAATCAGCCCAGCCTAAGAATCACTGGCTCTTTGTGTCATTTCTAGACTTAATGTCAAGGTGTAGCTCAGCCTGGCCTTCTAGGATCATTCATCTGCTCACCCACTGTATTTTTTGGTGAACCATAAAGCTCAGGCTAGAGGACCCCAGACCTGGGAAAGCTTCCTTGCAAACCCAACTAAACCAAAGGACAACCATCCATACAATGAAAAATCGCCTCTCCAGTTTTGTGGACAAAATGATTACGTGGTTACCAAATGATCTAATGAGTATACTCAGCTTTTGTGGACAGTGCATGCCAGTAAGGCCCAAATAAGTAAGCTGCTTTTGAGGTTAAAAGAAGTATCATTTTGAATACCAAATGGTATATAACGAAACATAGTAACTATTTTAGAAAAATATCTTACAGGACCGGAATTATTTGTAATGTGTCTAGAAATGCTTATTTGTGCATGAATATTTGGATACCTTGTCTTCTTAGTTAAGGGTTGTTTACAAGGGAAAGAGAATAAAATAATATTTAAGGATTCCAAGGTTCAGAATCCCTGAAAACTAGAAACATATGGACAAAGACAAAGTTTGAGGATTTTTATTTTTTGAGTCAAGGTTTCACTCTATTGCCCAGGCTGGAGGGCAGTGGCGTGATCACAGCTCACCACAGCCTCAACTTCCTAGACTTAGGTGATCCTTCCACCTCAGTCTCCTGTGTAGCTGGGACTACAGGCACATGACACCATGCCCAGCTATGTTTTCTGACTTTTTTGTAGAGTTCTTGTCATGTTGCTCCAGCTGGTCTTGAACTCCTGGGCTCAAGGAATCTACCCGCCTCAGCCTCCCAAAGTGCTGGATTTCAGATGTGAGCCACCATGCCCAGCCAGTTGTGTAGTTTGACTAGAGTTTAGAAAGTCAGTGAGGCCAGAAAAAGAATGCAGAGCTTTTTTCTTCCACTCTTTTTCCTCATATTGGTAAGATATTCTTATCAATATTCCAGCTCAATCCCACCTGAAGCATACTTCAGCAAATATCAGAATGAATGACACTGGTGGGTGTTACATGTTGACAAGAAGTCTCTGAGCTAAACCCTGGCCCGAGGACACCTGCTGGCCCCAGACAGCAGGGTAAATGTGTAATGAAGGCTGGGCAGAGGATAAATGACACTGACGCCTGACCTTGGAGTGAAGACACAAGCATGTACTTTCTCTACAGTATGGAACACCCCGGCCAGCTAGAGCGGTCACTCTACCCAGATTCAGCCAACCATGACAAGAAGGACTGCAGGCACATCATTGCCACATCTGATGAATTTGCATGAGAAGCCAGAAACTTACGTCTTTTTTTTTTCTTTTTTGAGTCAGAGTCTCACTGTCACCCAGGGTGGAGTGCAGTGGCACACTCATGGCCAGCGCAGCCTCAACCTGCTAGGCTCAGGCGATCCTTCTGCCTCAGCTTTCCAAGTAACTGGGACTACAGGTGCTTGCTACCACAGCCGGCTTATCTTTTGATTTATTGTAGAGACGAGGTCTCACCAAGTTGCCCAGGCTGGTCTTGAACCCCTGAGCTTAGGCATTCCTCTTGCCTTGGCCTCCCTAAGTGCTGGGATTACAGGCTTAAGCCACCATGTCTGGTGAAACTTACATCTTTGTGTGTATTAACCTCATTTGATATTTTAATAGTTCAAATTTTGAAACACTGTGGGGGCCACTGCAGATGGCCCAAATGAAACTCAGTGGCAGACCAGATTTGGCCAATAGACCATCACTTTGAGACTTCTGATCTAGGCCATGTTATTTGTGACACAAAAGCAATGGAAAACCTCACTCCCCATTGACTACAGAATACAGTCTGAAGTCCTGAGCTCGGCACACAGGCACTGTGGCAGAGTAGACATCTGCGGGGGCCAGGTAGGCCTGAGGTCAGTACGCGTACTGTTAAAGTGAACTCAAGCAAATGACACAACCTTTCTGAGCCTCAGAATCCTCATCTCAAAAATGGGTATTATATGAGCCTCTTGATATGCACTGAGATGAACACAACATCTTTTTTCTGAACTGGTGCCAAATGCATGACTGAATCCAATCAGGAGGACACAGCAGACAAAAGCACATTGGAGAGGCTATGAATTAACTGGCCTGTTGCTCTTAAAAAATGTAAAGATCGATTGGGCACAGTGGCTCAAGTCTGTAATCCCAGCACTTTGGGAGACTGAGATGGGAGGATCTCTTGAGGCTAGGAGTTTAAGACCAGCCTGGGCAGCATAGCAAGACCCCAGCTCTACAAAAAATAAGAAAAATTAGTTGGGCATGGTGGCTCATGCCTGCAGTTCTAGCTATTCGGAAAGCTGAGGTGGGAGGATTTGCTTGAGCCCAGTAGTTTGAGGTTACAGTAAGCTGTGATCGCACCACTGCACTCCAGCCTGGGTGACAGAGCAGGACCCTATCTCTAAACATAATAATAATAATAATGAACCGGGCTCGGTGGCTTAGCCTGTAATCCTGCGTCTTTGGGAGGCTGAGGTGAGTGGATTGCCTGAGCCTGCGGGTTTGAGACCTGCCTGGGCAGCGAGACCCCATCTCTACAAAAAATCAGCCGGGTGTGGTAGCACATGCCTCTGGTTACTTGGAAAGCTGAGGCGGAAGGATCGCTGGAGCCCAGCAGGTCGAAGCTGCGGTGGCCAGGAGCGGCCACTGCACTCCAGTCTGGGCGACAGAGTGAGACTCCAACTCAAAAAAATAAATAAATAAAATAATAATAATAATAATAATGATAAAAATAATTTTAAAAATTAAGAAAAGACTGAAGGTCTACTCCAGATTAGAGGTGACAAAAGGAACCTGATAGCTAAATGCAAATGTGATACTGCACTGAATCCTGGACCAGAAAAAAATATATAGCTGTAAAGAACATCATTGGTACAACTGATGAAGTCTAAATAAAGGTCTGTAGATGAGATAATAGTGTTATGTCACTGTTACTTCTGATTTTTTTTTTTTTTTTTGAGTTGGAGTCTCCACTCTGTCGCCCAGACTGGAGTGCAGTGGTCGCTCCCGGCCACCGCAGCCTCGGCCTGCTGGGCTCTGGCGATCCTTCCGCCTCAGCTTTCCAAGTAGCCGGAATTACAGGCATGCACTGCCACACCCAGCTGATTTTTTGATTTATTGTAGAGATGAGGTCTCGCTGCCCAGGCAGGTCTCGAACCCGCGGGCTCAGGCAGTCCACTCATCTCAGCGTCCCAAAGGCGCGGGATTACAGGCTGAGCCACCGAGCCCGGCTTACTTCTGATTTTTATACACTATTGTGTAAGAGGACAAGTTTGTTCTTATGAAATGCATACTCAATTATTCATTGCAAAGGAGCATTGTGACTGCAGCTTATTCTCGCAATTCAGAGAGAATAAAGACAAATGGGTCAAACTTTAGCATAAACAGTTGGTCAGTCTGGGTATACTGAAGTCATTCGCACTGTCCTTGCAACTTTTCTGTAAGTTTGAAATTATAGTGTATCAAAATAAATTGATACAAAAACAAAATATGATGAGGATGAAGCTCCCCACCTCATAGGGTGACTGTGAAATGTCAAGGAGATAGTGGTGTCAGAATGCCAGATCACTTACTGCCTAGGCATTAGCTTCTTCTTGTCACATTCCTTCTCTGGCCTTTTTCTCTCTGTCCCATTCTCCTGCCACTCAGACCTCTAGCCCACACCAAGTCACTGGGGTCCTTGAACAGGCCACGCACTGCCCTGCCATGTGCCTTTGCCAGTGGATTTTTTCTTTTTCTTTTTTTTGAGTTAGAGTCTCACTCTGTCACCCGGACTAGAGTGCAGTGCGGCTCCTGGCCACCGCGGCCTCAACCTGCTGGGCTCCGGCGATCCTTCCACCTCAGCCTTCCAAGTAGCTGGAACTACAGGCGTGCGCTACCACACCCAGCTAATTTTTGATTTATTGTAGAGATGAGGTTTCGCCAAGTTGCCCAGGCGGGTCTCAAACCCATGGGCTCAGGCAATCCACTCACCGCAGCCTCCCGAAGCGCGGGATTACAGGCTGAGCCACTGAGCCCCGCGTCAGTGGATTTTTTCTACTGAGAATTCCCTTTGTCCTTCTTTCTGCTTGGCAAACTTTTCTTTGCCCTTTCAGCCCTGTACCAGATGTTGCCACCTCTGAGAAGTCTTCCCCTGGAGCTAGTGAACATGATGGTTCCCTCCTCTTAGTTCCCATGGGACTCGACACAAATGTGTTCTCCTAAGGAACCCACGGTGTTTCAGTTATTTTGTGTGTACATGAGTCAGCTCCTCCGGGTAGGGACCATGTGATAGCTATCTTTGTCACCTTCCCTACATTGAGCACAGGGCCTAGTACAAGATGGATGTTCAAATAAACAGGTATTTTAGTGAGTTCAGTGTTCCCAGGTAACAGCACACACTTGGTGCACATGTTTTTTGGTTTTTGTTGTTGTTGTTGTTTTGAGTTGGAGTCTCACTCTGTCACCCAGACTGGAAGTGCAGTGGCCGCTCCCGGCCACCGCAGCCTCAACCTGCTGGGCTCCAGTGATCCTTCCGCCTCAGCTTTCCAAGTAGCTGGAACTACAGGTGTGCGCTACCACACCCGGCTGATTTTTTTGATTTATTGTAGAGATGAGGTCTCGCCAAGTTGCCCAGATGGGTCACGAACCCGTGGGCTCAGGCAATTCACTCACCTCGGCCTCCCAAAGCGCAGGGTTGGTTACAGGCTGAGCCACCAAGCCCGGCCGGTGCACGTGTTTTATAGGTGAGTCTTTTCAGTTTCCTAGAGATATACTTTTTGAGAAAAATGGATACTAACTTAAGTTTTTAAATTCTAAAATTTGGTGCATCTGATGTTTTTTTTATAAACTCTCATTTAAAAATTTGTTACATGGACATATTGTGCAGGGGTGGGGATTGGGTCTCAGGTGGCCCATTCCCCAGATAGTAAACATTGTGCCTGAACCTTGATACCTGTTCCCCCTTATTGGTATCCCCTGTCTATTATTTTTATCTTTGTGACTGTTTAGCTCCCACATATTAGTGAAAACATGCAGTGTTTGGCTTTCTATTTCTGAGTCAATTTGCTTAGGATAATGATCTCCAGCTCCATCCATGTTGCTGCAAAGGACATGATTTCATTCTTTTTTATGGTTCCATAGTATTCCATGGTGTGTATGTGTGTGTGTGTGTGTGTGTGTGTGTGTGTGTGTGTGTGTGTGTGTGTGTGTATGTGTGTACCACATTTTCATTACCCACTGATCAGCTGATGGGCATTTAGATTGAGTCCACATTTGAAATGGTGAATTGTGCTGTGATGAACAAGGTGGTACAGGTGTCTTCTTTTATATAACAACCTTTGTTTCTTAGGATAGATACTTAGTAGTGGGACTGCTGGATCCAATGGTAGACCTACTTTTAGTTCTTTGCGTAATCTCCATGCCACTTTCCATAGAAGTTGTACTGATTTATACTCCCACTAACAGTTAATAAATTTTCCCTTTTCTCAGCATCTGCACATTACTTGTTTCAGTTCTTTGTAGATTCTGGATATTAGTCCTTTTTCAGTAACAGCCGTTCTGACTGGTGTGAAGTGGTATCTCACTGTGGTTTTAATTTGCATTTTCCTGATGATGAGTGATGTTGAGCTTTTTTAAATATGTTTGTTGTCCATTTGTATATCTTCTTTTGAGAGATGTCTGTTCATGTCATTTGCTCACTTTTTAATGGGATTGTTTGCTTTTTTCTTGCACATTTGAGTTTTTTTGTAGATTTTGGATATTAGTCCTTTGTTAGATGTATAGTTTGTGAATATCTTCTCTCATTCTGTAGGTTGCCTGTTTGCTCTGCTGATTATTTCTTTTGCTGTCAGAAGCTTTTTAGTTTAATTAAGTCCAATTTGTTTATTTTTGTTTTACTTACATTTGCTTTCAGGGTTTTAGCCATACATTATTTGCCTAGGCCAGTGTCCAAAAGAATTTTTCCAAGATTTTCTTTTAGGATTTCTATTATTTCAGGTCTGATGTTTATGTCTTAATCATCTTGTGTTAATTTTTGTATATGGGGAGAGATAGGATCAAGTTCTATGTTTATGCATGTAGCTATCCAATTTCCCCAATACCGTTGTTGAGCACCTTTTCATGTGCTTGAGCAGGGTGTCCTTTCCCCAGTGTGTGTTTTTGTCTGCTTTGTCAAAGATCAATTGGTTGTAGGTATTTGCATTTATTTCTGTATTGTCTATTCTGTTCCACTTGTCCATGTGTCTGATCTTGTACATTACCATGCTGTTTTGGCTACTACAGTCTCACAGTATAATTTTAGGTCAGGTAATGTGATGTCTCCAGCTTTGTTCTTTTTACTTGAGCTTGCTTTGGCTATTTTGGTTCTTTTTTGGTTTCATATGAATTTTAGGATTTTTTTCTTATTCTGTGAAAAATGATGGTAGGTTGATAGGGATTGCATTGAATCTGTAGATTACTTTGTATTATATGATCATTTTAATAATATTGAGTCTTCCAATCCACGAGCATGAGATGTTTCTCTATTTGTTGTGTCCTCTGCAATTTCATCAGAGTTCTGTAGTTCCCTTTTAAACATCTTTCACCCCGTTGGTTAAATATATTCCTAGGTATTTTTGCCTTTTGGCTGCTATTGTAAATGGAATTGAGTTTTTTATTTGATTCTTAGCTTGGTCGCTATTGGTGTATAGAAGCACTACTGATTTGTTTATGGTGATTTTGTATCCTGAAACTTTACCAAATTCATTTATGAAGTCCAGGAGTCTTTTGGAGGAGTACTTAAGGTTCTCTAGATATAAGATCTTATCCATGGCATACAGAGACAGTTTGATTTCTTCTTTTTCAATGTGGATACTCACATACATACGTGTGTATGTGTGTGTCTATTAATTTTTAAAAATATGGGGTATAATTCAGGATTAGGTATACAAGTGGACAGGTAAAATTTGGGCCTCCCTTTGGTCCCCACTTTGCCTGGTTGGATACTCTTTATATTTCTTTTTCTTGCCTGATTTATTTAGCTAGGTCTTCCAGTACTATGCTGAAGAGTAGTGGTGGAAGTGGGCATCCTTACCTTGTTCCAGTTCTAAGGGGTATAAACTCTTATTTTTAATGAAATGTACATATCTGATTATGAATAGCACTTTAAGTAATTTTTAAATGTTAGGTATTAGAGTAATAGCTATTTATGACCTTCCCTATAATGATTTTTTTTTTTAGTTGAGGTCTCACTCTGTTGCCCAGTCTGAAATACAGTAGCATAATCATGGCTACCACAGCCTCAACTTCCTGGGCTCAGGTGATCCTTCCACTTCGACCCCCCGAGTAGGGGGCACTAGGTGTGCACCATCATGCCTAGCTGATTTGTTAAATTTTTTTGTAGACAGATAAGGTCTCATTATGTTCCCCAGTCTGATCTCAAACTCCTGTACTCAAGTGATTGATCCTCTGGTCTTGATCTCCCAATGTGCTGGGATGACAGGCATGAGCCCCCACACCTAGCCCCCATAATGATTCTTTGATGGCATTTTATTATGCCATGTTCTTTACTGGGCTATATTAATCATATATCTATATCAATAATACCTGTATTCTTAATTTTAGTCTCCTGGTTTTGCACACATGATTGGTCAGAAGCGTTTGACAAGCACAGAGATTATGAGAATTCAAAGGGAGACAGATTTTCTCAGGTAAGTATCACATTTACTCTACCCTGCCTTAAATCCTACAGAGATACATTGTGGTCAGAAAGAATTTAAGGATGGGACAAAGCAATGGTTTTTCCTGCTTCTAACTTGTTAAATTAAATGTTTGCAGCTTTTTAAAAGTGATAAATCTGCTATGAACATTTGTACCCAAGTTGTATACACACATGCTTTTGTTTCCCTTGTGGTAAAATCCTGAAGAGGAATGACTGGGTCAGGTGGTAGGTATATGTTCAACTTTTAAAGAAATTGTCAAAATATTTTCCAAAGTGGTTTTACTATTTTTACATACCCACCAGTAGTGTATGAGAATTTCATTTTTATCTGCATCCCTGCCAACACATTTATTTTTGGTCATTCTAAAGAGATTGTAGTGGTATCTCATTGTGGTTTTAATTTGCATTTCTCTAGTGACTGATGATGTTGAGCATCTTTTCATGTGCTTATTTGCCATCCATTTCTTTGTGGTAAAGTGTCTGTTCAAACTTTTTGTCCTGTAGAAAAAAATTGGGTTATATATTTTCTTATTGTAGAGTTGTCCATATTCTTTTTTGTCAGATGTATGTTTCACATATATTTTCTTCCAGTCTTTGGCTTTTCCTTTTTTTAGCAGTATTTTTTGAGGAGCTAAAGTTTTTAAACTTTTGTGATGTCAATGTGTTTTTCTTTTACAGTTAATTCTCAGTTTGTCATATTTAAGAAATCTTTCCCAAACACGAGATTTTTTCCATTCACTAAAATTTTCTCCTGTGTCCTTTTTCTTGACTTGTTGCACTGGCTACAACCTCTAGTATAATTTTAAATAGAAATGGTGAGAGTGGATTTTCTTGTTTTATTCTTGACTCTAGGAGGAAAGTATTTGTCTTTCAACATTAATTATGATTTTAGTTGGGTTTTTGATGATGACCTTTATTTATCAGATTGAGGAAATTTTCATCTGTTCCTAGTTTGCTGAGAGTTTTCTTTTTTAAAACCGGTAATAGGTGTTGAATTTTGTACAAAGCATTTTCTCCATCTATTGAGAGGATCATATGGGTTTTTTTCTGTTCTTGAATTCTGTTCTGTATTAAAATTATTGATTTTCGAAATGGCAAACCAACCTTGCATTCCTGTGATATATCCACTTGAAGTTTAATCTATTTTATGTATTGTTGAATTTGATTTGCTGAAAGATTTTAAAGAATTTTTCACAGGCATCTGCATAAGAGTTACTGGGATATTTTATCTTCTTGTTAGTGGCTTTCTCTGGTTTCAGTACTAGGATAATTCTGACTTCATAGAATGAAATGGAAATTATTCCCTCTCCATCAATTTTCTAAAAGAGATTGTGTAAAATTGGTGCTAGTTCTTCCTTACATGTTTGGTAGAATCTGCAAGTGAAATTATTGAATCTGGAGCTCTTTTTCAGAAAGATTTTTAGCTACACATTCAGTTTCTTTAATAGATATAAGTTCATTCAGGTTTATATATTTCTTTTTGAGTGAATTTTGGGTTTCATTTTCTCTTCTTTTTTCAGTTTCTTTAATGGGAAGATGAAATCATTGATTTGAAGCCCTTCTTCTTTTCTAATACAGGCATTTAGAACTATACATTTCCCCCTGAGTACAGTTTTACCTGCAGCCCCTAATTTTGATATGTGTTTATATTTTCATTCAGTTCAAACAGTTTCTAATTACTTTTGTTATTTTTTATTTTTTGACCAATGGGTTACCTAGAAGTGTTTTTTTCAAACACAAGGGATCTTCCTTTTATCTTTTCGGTATTCATTTCATATTTAATTCCTTTTGATCAGAAAACATACATTGTATGATTTGATTGGTAAATTTCCACATACACTTTAAAAGAATACATATTTTGCTAGAGTGAGTATACTATAAATGTCAGGTTAAGTTAAGTTGATAGCATTGTTTAAATCTTCTCTATCTTTATGGATTTTCTATTGATTGTATAATCAGTTATTGAGGAATTTATGACTAGGACTATAATTATGAATTTGCCTATTTATCCTTGCACTTTCATTTTTTTTGTTTTTTAATTTTTATCTATTTATTTATTTTTGAGTTGGAGTCTCACTCTGTCGCCCAGACTGGAGTGCCGCTCCCGGCCACCACAGCCTCGACCTTCTGGGCTCCGGTGATCCTTCCACCTCAGCCTTTCGAGTAGCCGGAATTACAGGCACGTGCTACCATGCCCGGCTAATTTTTTGATTTATTGTAGAGATGAGGTCTTGCCTGCCCAGGCAGGTCTCGAACCGGTGGGCTTGGGCAATCCACTCACCTCAGCCTCCCAAAGGCACGGGATTACAGGCACTTCCATTTCTATAAATTTTTATCTTCACGTGCTGTGAAGCTCTGCTGTTCACTACACAGACCTTTTGGATTCTTATGCCCTCTTGCTGAATGACTCCTTTATCATTATGAGATAATCTTCTTTAAGCCTGATACATTTTGCTCAGAAATGTACTTGTTCAGATGTTAAGGTAGCCACTCCTGTTTCTTTTGATTAGCATTTGTATGGTACTTAAAGACAGGATCTCTGTCACTCATGCTGGAGTGAGTGACATGATCATAGTTCATTGCAGCCTTGAACTTTTAGGTTCAAGTGATCCTCCTGCCTCAGCCCCTCAAGTAGCTAGGACTATAGACATACCACCACACCTGGCTAATTTTTAATTTTTATTTTTTGTAGAGTTGGGGTCTTGCTATGTTGTTCATGCTGGTCTTTAAATCCTGGCCTCAAGCAATCCTCTTGCCTCGTCCTCCCAAAGTTCTGGAATTATAGGCGTGAACCACTGTACCCAGCTCATCCCTTTACTTTAAATATAGTTGTGTTTCTCTACTTAAAGTTGGTTTCTGTTGAACTTGTAAGAGCAATGTGTTGATTTAAAAAAATAAGTAAATAAAATTGGTTTCCTGTATGTAGCATATAGTTGGATCTTGCTTTTAAAAAAAATCTTAGCTGACAATCTATGCATTCTAATGGGCTATTTACAGCATACATAGAGTATTCTAAGTGATGCCCTGTATTGATGTATGACATTTTTCACTCTGGTTGATGTGAGTGTGAACTTCCCAGCCCTGAGTAAGTCCTGAGGGTTGTTTTCTCTTTCCCCCTTTGGTGTTTATTTTCTGGCCTACGCAAGTTTCTTCCAACATATGCACTAATCAGTTAGTGCCCAGCTGAAGACTTGATGGTGACCCTTGGCAAAATTCTGAAGTTTTCCCTGCAACTTTTCTTTTGGTATCCTTGGCAACTGCTCTAGTTGCCTTGACCATCTCAGACCCCCAGCTTAATGCCTTCAGTGCATGTAAGAAGAATGAGATAGTCAGGTAACTCATGAACTCTGGGTGTAGAAAGGAGAAAACTCATTGCCCTAATGGGTGGATCCAGGCAAAAGACATGGTGGAGCCTGGGTACCATGGTACAGTGAGGAAGCACTGAATAGGGTTAGAAGTGTGGCGAGTGAGCTCACCTATCTGGCTGGTCATTGTTGGGAAACTGTGCTGAGACAAGTGTAGGTAACCAGGCAATTTAGTGCACAGTATCCAAGCCTCATAGTTGCTGAGGAGCTGTTCATATCAGTGGTCACGGAACCAGGACCCAACGTACCTGGAAAGGTATGGCAGCAGCTGTGTATTCACAGGCAAGCCTAATTCCAAGAATGAGTTCACATTGGCTGATAGTCAAAACCCAATTATTTGAATGGGGGTTACAAGTTGGGATCCAGCTGCGTGAGAACTGGGGTCAACTGCTGCTGGGGCAGAGCCTTGGAATTTAACCAGGTAGCGAAGAGAAAGGCAGGACTCACAGACAAGGAGACCTGTCCCTCACACCAGTCTCAGTGATCAGGCAGGAGGTCAGAAAAGTGTCGACATCACTGGAATTCCTGGGGCTCACCCTCACACATGTCAAATCCAATGTAATGGGACAAGCCAGAGCCCCACTAAGAAGTGGGATCAAGGTAGCTGATAAACTTCCTGCCACAATCCATAAATGACATAGGCTTGGCACCAGAGGTTGTGGCTGAGAGGCCACTTTGTCATAAAATGACTTAGGAAGCATCTCCTGTCTTTAACTTGTTGCAAAGATATCGAGAGTGGTCTACTTCTGTTTGGTTTTTAAGACTCCTTGAGCACTTTTTGATGTTCATCAGTCTTCTGAATATGGACCCATCAGAACATGGGGACCTGTTTTGTTGCAGGTGTGCCCACTGCCTTACCCCCCGCCCATCTGATCCCTTTGCTCGCTTCTGTCAAGAATGTGGCTCTCCTGCCCCGCCCATAATTGGCTGTCGTCTCCCACCCCCGGAAGGAGCTCAGGTGAGCAGCAGAATTCTTCAAAACGTTTTTCATTGGTTGATCTGGTGTTTATTTGCAGCAGTAACACAGTGCTTGGTACACATGTACCGCAAACTTAAATACTTGTTGAAAGAGATCACTGGCAGATGAAACTCTTTCCAGATGCCTACTTAACAATGGAAGGACTTGTTTGCAATGCCATGTCTTTTGTGTGGTCTGGAAGAAGCACAGGCTTAGAAAACAGTTGAGATCTCATTGTTTTAATGAGGCATGCATGGATAAATAAATATTTCCCACTCATTTGATTTTTCTACAAAATGAAATAAAAGGGATCTATGATGTAGTGTGAAAAAAGATCAACTTAAAAAAGACAGTCCCTGCTCGGCCGGGTGCCTCACACCTGTAATCCCAGCACTTTGGGAGGCTGAGGCAGGAGGATCACTTTTTTTTTTTTTTTAATAATTTATTGAGAGGACAGAAAATCTCCCACAGCAGGAAAGGACCGGAAGGGGTTGTCCAGGAGGATCACTTTAACCCAAGCGTTCAAGAGCAGCCTAGCCAACGTAGTGAGACTTTGTGTCTACAAAAAAATAAAAATTTAGCCAGGCATGGTAATGCATGCCTGTAGTTCCACCTCCTTGAGAGCCTGAGCCAGAAGGATTACTTGAACCCAGGTAGTCGAGGCTGCAGTGAGGCACAATCATGGCACTGTACTCTAGTCTGAGCAACAGGGTGAGACTGACTCAAAAAATAAAAAATTAAAAAGCTGGTTACTAAGAAAAAGTAACTAATTCAGTGACTAAAAAGTCAGTAATTCACTAAGTTTGGAGTCTTAGAATTGAGTTATACCTCAAGCAAGGGGTCAGGTACTAAATGGATATCTATTTTAATATTTCTCCAATCTATTGCTCAAGATTTCTGTAGAAGTTAATTTAATTCCCTTCTATGATATATTTTGAACTCCTTGAACAAGAAAATACAGAAAACAAAATATGAACATGTCCCACTGGTTTGATTTTTTTTCTTGTTTATGTTAGTTGATATAATGTCAAAGTTATTTTCTACTTGTGGCTGAGTATAGTGGCTCACACCTGTAATTCCAGCACTTTGGGAGGCCAAGGCAGGAGGATTCTTTGATCCCAGGAGTTGAGACCAGCTGAAGACTTGATGGTGACCCTTGGTCAACACAACATAGCAAGACCTCATCTCTACAAAAAATAAAAAAATTAGCCAAGCATGGTGGCGCACATCTATAGTCCCAGGCTACTCAGGGGGCTGACACAGAAGGAGTGCTTGAGTCCAGGAGTTGGAGTCTGTGGTGAGCTGTGATGATGCCACTGCCCTCAGGCCTGGGCAACAGAGTGAGACCCTAACTCAAAAAAAAAAAAAAAAAGTTACTTTCTACTTGCCTGGAAATGGATTTTTAGAACTTTCTTTGCTTTACAGGGTGGAAAGGTTATCAGAGATTACAAATATTTAAAATGATAAAGCTTAAAACATCAATATTGCTCCTACAAATTATAGTATAGTTCTATTAGTACAATAATAGGTTGTAATGTATAAACAACTTTGTAATTCAAACTCACAACCATTTCTTGAGTACTTACTGTGTCCTGCTTTCAAATGGGCTTCTGGGATTATTAACAGGACAGGATCCCGCTACTAGACCCAAGACACTCAGGGGATTTTAATAGAGAGTTGCAGATGGATGTGCTTTCCTCTCTTTTTGCCCCTGTGGTTGTGCTGAACCCTCTGATATTCAGTGATAACCCATGAACAGTTCTCAGTTACCTCTGCGGGCACCCCTGCCACTTCCCAGGTAGTCTCCCAGGCATCCCAGTGGCAGCTGCCCAGTGAATTTCAGCAGCAAATGCCCTAAGCATGCCTTTCAATGGAGTGACTATGCACTGGGGACAAGAAATTTCTACCTTTTTGGAGGATTGCTAGATACTGGCTCTGAATTTGTGCCAATTCTTGAAGGTCCAAAACACTACTATGGTCTGCCAATAAAAGTTGGACCTTTAAGGTGCTCAGATGATAGACGGAGACATACCTCAAGTCTGGCTTATGATTGTTGTTTCATGTATTTTTGTGGTTTGTTGTTATGTCCATGCTATGGACTAAATGTTTGTTACCCCCCCTCCCGCAAATTCATGTTTAAATCCTAACCCTCAAGGTGATGGTATTAGTAGGTGGGGGGTCTTTGGGAGGTAATTATGTTATAATGATGAAGCCCTTATGAATAGAGTTAGTGTCCTTATTAAAGAGGCTCAAGGGAGCTTGTCTGCCCTTCCACCACATGAGAACACAGCTAGAGTGAGCCCTCACGAGACACCGAATTTGCTGGCACCCTGACCTTGGACTTTCCTGCCTCCAAAACTGTGAGAAAAATACATTTCTGGGTTTATACTCCACCCAGTCTGTGGTATTTTGTTATCACAGCCTAGACAGACTAAGTTTATGTACATTTATAATTGCTATATCTTCCTGATTTATTGAAAAATTTTCCTGATTTTTTTATCATCACAAAATGCCTTTGTAGTAAGTAATATTTCGTCTTTAAGTTCTTTATTCTCTGATAGTTATGTAACCACTCCAGCTGTCTTGTAGTTACTGTTTGCATTGTGAATCTTTTTCTATGTTTACTTTCAACCTATTTGTGCATTTGAATCTAAGGTGTGTTTCTATTAGACAGAATATAGTTGGATATTGCTTTTTTTTACCCATTCTTATAATCTTAGCCTTTTGAGTATGGTGTTTAGTTGATTTCTACTTAATGTTATTATTGATGTGGCTGGATTTCCATATGCCATTTTACTATTTGCTTTTTATTTGTATCATGTCTTTTTGCTTTTGTTCTTTTTCTCCTTTACTGCTTTCGTTTGTGTTAAATTATTTTTAGTGTACCATTTTAATTCCTCTGTTGACTTTTGGTATTATTATTATTTTATTATTATTTTTGAGTTGGGGGTTTCACTCTGTCACCCAGGTTGGAGTGCAGTGGCACAGTCACAGCTCACCACAACCTTGACATTCTGATCTCAGATTATCCTTCTGTCTCAGACTCCCAAGTAGCTGGTACGACAGCTGCACATTATCACACCTGGCTAATTTTTCTTGTAGAGATGAGGTGTCACTATGTTGGCTAGACTGATCTCAAACTCCTGGATCAAGCAATCCTCCCACTTTAGCCTCCCAGAGTGCTGGGATTACAAGCATGAGCCATGGTACCTGGTCTATTTTTAAAGTTATCTGGTATTCTAGGGGTTACAATATGGACTTTAATTTATCACAATCTATTTCAGAATGATTTAACTTAATTTTGATAGGATACAGGAATTTTGCTCCAATAGGTCTCCTTTTCCTCTCTCTTCATCTTTTATGTAATCTATATTTTTTGTAATCACTTTGTATGTTACAGCTGTGTATGTTATACACTGAAAAGTGTGACGTTACATAGTCTTATGTTGTTCAAAGAAGGTGAGCAGAACTGTCTATGGAGTCATTTATATTTACCCACATGTGTGTGATATCTAGTCTTTTCACGTCTTCCTGTGAGCCCAGGTGATCATCTAGTGTCATATTCTTTCCACCTGATTAAGTCCCTTTAGTATTTCTTGTAAGACATGTCTGCTAGCAGTTTTTCTCTGTCTTTGTTTATCTGAGAATGTTCATCTGACCTTTATTTTTGAGGGATAGTTTTGCTGCACGTAGAATTCTTGTTTAGCAGTTATTTTTTATTTCAGCCCCTTGAATATGTCTGCTTCTTCCTGGTCTCTGTTGTCTTTGATGTTTATGATAAGAAATTTCCCTTGTTACTTTCAAGATTCTCTTTTTGTTTTTGACTTTCTACAGTTTGATTGTAACGTGTTTAAATGCAGATCTCTTTGTGTTTATTTTTCTTGGAATTGATTGAGCTTGTTGGATCTGTAGATTAATGTTTTTCTTCCATCGTGGGAAGTTTGGGGCCATTATTTCTTCAAATTCTTTTTCTGCCCCTTTTCCTCTCTGTCATCACATATATGTTGGTACGCTTGATGTTCTCAACAGCATGCCATCTTTGATGGTCTGCTTATTTTCTTCAATCTTGTTTTCTTTCTGTTCTTCATATTGGATCATTTTTTTCCTTTTTTCTTTTTCTTTTCTTTTTTGCTGTGTCTCTATGAGCCTAACATTGGATAATTTCTATTGACCTGTATTTGTATTTACTGATTGCTTCTTTTGTCATCTCTGAACTGCTCTGGAGTCCCTCTGGTGATTTTCACATTTCAGTTATTTTACTTTTCAACTCCAGGTTTGGATTTAGTTCTTTTTAGTAATTTATATCTCTTTATTCATATTCCTTATTCATCAGATCATTGTCATCGTACTTTCTTTAATTTCTTAAATGTGACTTTCTTTCTTTCTTTGATCATTTTTTATAATAGCGGCTTTGAAATCTTTGTCTGCTAAATCTGACAGCTGAGGGCACTCAGAGACAATTTCTGTTGACTATTTTTCCCCTAAGTATGGGCTACACATACTTGGTTTTTGTATGTGCAAAATTTTTTTTGAATACTGGATATTTTAGCTAATATATTGAGGCAACTCTGGATTCTTTTTTCCTGAGGATTGTTGTTTTATGTTTTGTTTACTTGGATTAAATCTTTAATGTCTGTCTCCCCTGCCATGTTTGACCACTGGTGTCAGAGTTTATTTCTTGTTTTTATATTTAAGCCTGGAGTTGCCTTTGGGTCTGCATATCTTTTTTTTTTTTTGAGTTGGAGTCTCACTCTGTCGCCCAGACTGGAGTGCAGTGGCCGCTCCCGGCCACCGCAGCCTCGACCTGCTGGGCTCTGGCGATCCTTCCGCCTCAGCCTTCCGAGTAGCTGGAGTTACAGGCGCACGCTACCACGCCCAGCTATTTTTTTTTTTTTTTTTAATTTATTGTAGAGATGAGATCTCTCCTGCCCAGGGGGGTCTCGAACCCGCGGGCTCAGGCAATCTACTCACCTCAGCCTCCCAAAAGCGCGGGTTTACAGGCTGAACCACTGAGACCGGCTAGATACTTTTGACCTTAATTTCTTTCTTTTTTTTTTTTTTTTTAGTTGGAGTCTCACTCTGTCGCCCGGACTGGAGTGCAGTGGCCGCTCCCGGCCACCGCAGCCTCGACCTGCTGGGCTCCGGCGATCCTTCCGCCTCAGCCTTCCGAGTAGCCGGAATTACAGGCATGCGCCACCACACCTGGCTGATTTTTTTATTATTGTAAAGATGAGGTCTCGCTGTCCAGGCGGGCCTCGAACCCGCAGGCTCGGGCAATCCACTCACCTCAGCCTCCCAAAGGCGCGGGATTACAGGCTAAGCCACCGAGCCCAGCTGGGTTTGCATATTTTAGTGTTCAACAGAAGATTGGCCAGAAACTGTGATCAGGCACATCAAACCAATGGGCTTCTACTGTCTGCTGACGGATCTGTGTGTTGCTGGGCAGAACATCAGACTTCAATCTGTTCTCAAGCCCTCCACATATATTCACCATCAGCCTGGAATGTGTCAGTGGCTTGGGCTTACTCTGGTTTATACTGCGCATGTACGTAATCTCCAGTCAACTAAAGACATGTGGAAAGCTTATCGGCACATATAGTTGAATGACCTCCAGGAACTCCCTGTTAAATCCATGGCCAGCTTGCTGATCCATTGAATGCCCCCCCCACAGGTCCATAATTTAAAACTAGGAGAGCCTCTGTCCCCAGGGTTTGCTTGCCACTAAAATCATCACCATAATAATGTTCCAAATCAAGTGAACCCTGTCCATCAGTAGCCACAAACTTGCTGGGTGTCACAGCCTGCCCTGTCCTGGTGGAGCCACCACCCAGATGGAACCAGGGGAGTGGGGAGCAGCCCAGGCAAGAACCATATAGACTTGAGTGTGCTCTTCTGAAGTTCAGTCATTTTCAGGAGCTTCTCAGTTTGTTGTCTGCCCTTGGTCAACTCTCAGAGTGCTGAAGTGATTGACTGCTCTATCTGACTTTATCATTGTTTTTTGGGGAGAGGATTTATTGACTTCCTCATTCCATCATATTGCAAGTTAATTTCCTATGGGTATTTTTCTTTTCTTTTTTACACCTCTCTTTTCTACAATAAACATACTTCTACTCTTAATAGGTATTAAAGAATAACAGTGGTGCTATTTTTATTATTTATTTCTGATATTGACACATTAAAATTGTGTATAAAAATCATACCCTTGCCTGAGCCCATGGGTTCGAGACCAGCCTGGGCAACTTGGTGAGACCTCATCTCTACAATAAAAAAAAACATTAGCCGGGCATGGTAGTCTGCATCTCTAATTCCAGCTACTTGGAAGGCTGAAGCAGAAGGATCGCCTGAGCCTAGCAGATCAAGGTTGTGGTGGCCTTGAGCATGCTTCTGTACTTTAGCCTTGGTGACAGAGTGAGACTCCAACTAAAAAAAAATTGTACCCAATTATACATAATGATATTTGATGCATACAATGTATAATGGTCAAATCAGAGTAATTAGCATATCCATCATAAAGATAATTATTTTAAAAATTGTTTTACAAAAGCAAATTAAACCCCATTTCATGCTAAGATCTACTCAGACCTTCCGTTTCTTCATCCCAAGCCAAGCCTGACCTCTTCCTTTGTGCAGATGGGCTTATGCACAGGGTGCGGAAGCATGGTGCCCATGAACACCCCCATCTGCGTGGTGTGCGAGGCCCCGCTTGCTCCACAGCTGCAGCCAGCGGCCAGCCTCTGCTTGAAGGTAATGAAATGTGGATCTGTAAAAACATGAATCAGATACACAGAAAGTGATGTTTGAACAATTATATGTGTTTCTTCAGCTGGTGGAATGGGGTAACCATTGATAAGTTAATATACATGAACAAAATCCATTTTAATTTTTGGAATCACATGGTGCCCAAGAGTTTAACATGCTGATATTATCTATAATCTTAAGAGATACAAAGGGGAAGCTAAAAAATCCTGAAATTACCTTTTGGAGGGCAGACCCCTTGTAATATACTTGGAATTTGTTCCTCCAGATGAAACAGTCAACCAAAGTTTTTATCTGGAAGTTTTGAGAAGGTTGCATCATGGTTTGCAGAAGAACTATCCCAAGTTGTGACAAACAGGTGATTGGTTCTTCCACCATGAAAATGCACCTGCCTGCACTGTGCTGAGTGTTCAGTGGTTTTTGACCAAATATGGCATGATCTATTCACTCACTGTCACCTTGAGTGACTTTTTTTTGTTTCCTGGATGAAAAAAGTCCTCAAAGGGAAACATTCTGCCGATGTGGAAGAGGTGAAACAAAAAATGGCAGAAACACTGAAAGGCATCAGAATTGATGAGTTCAAAACCTGTTTTGAGCAGTGGAAAAAGCGCCTCAATAGGTATAATCACATTAAACGAAGAGGACTTTGAAGGTGACTGGAGTTTAAACATAGAAAGAATAAGTATACAATTTTTATAAATCAATTCTGGGTTTGTTTTTGGTCCTTCCTCATATGTAGCATTGTATTCTATGAACAAAGATTTAGAGGACAAATTGCTTTACAAATCACTTAGACAATTTTTTTACTGCATATGCCTAAATGTCAACATTACAGTTAATATTGACTTATTGTTCTTTTTTTTTTTTGAGTTGGAGTCTCACTCTGTTGCCCAGACTGGAGTGCAGTGGCTGCTCCCAGCCACTGCAGCCTCAACCTGCTGGGCTCCGGCGATCCTCTGCCTCAGCCTTCCAAGGACTTATTGTTCTTAAAGTGTCTTCATGCTTTTATTTGCTGTGTTTGGATTATGGGTCCCTACTATGCAGAAAAAGAATGACTACAACTAGTTACATGGAAGAAATAGTTGTGTGTCATTACATACATTCAAAAGACTTTGCTAGACAAATGATGTCATAGTGTGAAAAATTTTTTGGTAGAATCATTGAACATACCACTGTTCTTTTCTCCAGTTCTCAATATATAGTCCCATTCACCAAGTAAAGGTCACTAGAGGATATAGTGGATTTGATAAAGGGAATTTTAGGGCTAAAAAATTAGGAATTCTTAGCAATAAGGGAAATGCATGGACTTAATGTACAATCAGAATTGTAAAATGGCCTTGTGGATTCTATGTAGGCAAATTGTGTTGAGAGAAAAGATAAGTCCATTTTTTTCTTCCTCCTCCAAGCTCCCTCTGCTGTGAAGAGTTCAAAAGTGTCCCAGGCTATATAAGCCTTCAGAAATGGGATTTTGAAGAACTAGCTGGGCCAAAGTCAGGTAGATGGAAATTTACTAATCTTTTTGTTAGATGACTATTTTCAATCATAAGAAACTTTAAAAGCTCCTTCAGGAAGCCACATATAACCCTGGAAGCTTGTCTCCAGACTTGTTATACATGAGAGAAATCTACTTCTTTCTTATTTAAGTCACTGTTACTTTTGGTGTTCTTTTAATCACTGCTAAACCTATTCTTACTAGTACATTTACTCAAGATAATATCATTCCAAACTCTTTGGACTATTTAAAACAGGAGAGATAGGAGTAAGTGTTAGTTGTGACCCAAATTCAATATATATCATGCCATCTTCAGTATTTGAAATTAGAGGGTTATTTTTTTCATTTTGTGAGAAGGCAGAAAGATACAAAGTATAAACAAACAGTTTTTTCTTTCAGTTTGTTGTAAATCCTATCTTGAGGATAGACACAGGACTTCTATGAGGTCTGACAATTAAGTTCATGAACATATCCTAGTAAAAGTGCTACATACCTCATGGCTGCACATCACTGTGGCCACCTTTGAGGTACTCTTCTTGGGATGCTATGTACTGATGCCAGTGCCTTGTCCACCCATCAAAGCAATTTTGGAACTCTTTTTCTGGAATGGCCATCTGAGTTGTCATCATGAGAATGTCAGAGTTTGAATTAGAGCAACAACCAAACATTAAATTTCTTGTTAAACCTGGCCAGAGTGGACATGAAATCAGGGACATGTTAGTTCAAGTTTATGGGGATAATGTCAAGAAGAAAACAGCAGTGTACAAATGGATTAAATGTTTTTCTGAGAGGACAGAAGGTGTCACGGATGAAGAGAGGCTAGGATGGCTAATAACAAGCAGAACTGATGAAAACATTGCAAAATTTGTCAAATTGTGCATCAAAGTCATTGACTCACTGTTAGAAGTATAGCAGATCAAATAAACATGGAGAGAGGAATAGGAAAATCTTGGCAGGAGAAAGGTGTATGCAAAAATGGCCCCAAAGGTGCTCTTGCATCATGACAATGCACGAGCTCACACAGCACCATCTGTGCGGGAGTTTTTACCTCCCTACTCACCTGATCTTGCCCCAGTGACTTTTTTTCAGGACATTAAGGGTAATACGGCAACAGCTTTGATGGTCATTCCAGAAAGAATTCTAAATCTTTAACAGGTGAACTAGGCACTGGCGTCAGTGCATAGCTTCCCAAGGAGAATACTTCAAAGATAACCATCGTGATATTCAACAATGAGGCATGGAGCACTTCAGTCACTTTCAAAGTCCTCTCAGTTTGATACAATACACCTATCAAGATGTCTTTCCGCTGCTCAAAACAGGTTTTGAACTCATCAATTTTTTTTTTTTGGAAATGTTATAAAATTTGTAATAGCAAAACTTAGGAATCAGACATATTAACAAATTGTATTCAATCATTTACATTACAAACAAGGAATCTGCAGTTCGTTACTGTAACCTAACCAAAAAAAACCTACCCATTAGGAATCTATGCACAATGTGATTGCAAATATGTACAGTACTTTTTAAAAAACCTACAAGGAGAAATTTACAGAAGGAAAGTTGACTAGGCTCTTTGTTAAGCCAACCAGACAATCAAAATATTAAAACTCTGTTGGCTAGTAATAAATATATAATTTTTAAAAACCCTACTTTCCTTTTGTTTAAGAATATTCCAGTTATATTTATATGGTGACAGTTAATAAAGCTGTTCAGGACAGTTCCAGTAAATTACCTTTCAGTTCATTGTTTGTGGAAATATCAGCATGTTAATAAAAATTAATAAAGGAATTTTCACCACAAGAGTTTTCCAGTTACATTATCACAGCTTCACAAATGGATTGAACCCATGAATCCAGTGGCTGAGAAAAGCTGTGTGTCAAATACTGAGAACATGGTAGAGACAGGATCAATTCTGGTACCTTTTAGTGCTTCTGCCATTTATTGTTCACCTCTTCACATCAGCAAAACATTTCCCTTTGAGGACTTTTCTCATTTAGGGAAATAAAAAATGTTGCTTGGGGCAAGATTGGGTGCATGACCTTGGTAAAAAACTGCTGAACACTCAGTGTTGTGTGGGCAGGTGTACTTGTAAATCACCCATCATGAAATGGGCAAACACAATGAAAGAATCTCCCAAAAAAATTCACTGAAGCTGTATGCAGCCTCTCACAACAATGCTAGCTGGTACACTAGCTAGCTGGTACCTAGCGGGAGAAACCTGTACTACAAGGGGCCTACCCTCCAAAATATAATTCCTTTTGGGAGGCATACCCCTTGTGTATCTTTTCATGAAGAAACCAACTATGAAATCAAAGGTGAAATTTTAAAAATCAATCCTATTTGGCTTCTGATGTTGAGTTTTCAAAAAGAATTATGGACTTTGAAATTCTTGAGTAAATAAGTTTCATATTGGCAAAATATCCCTGGAATTTGGGACAGCTTCCATAGAGGGCTTTCTCAAACTAGAACTTTCCCAATATCATGGGAAATAATATTTTGAGGTATTGCCTTTACTGTTTTCTCTAGAATGTGGATCTTGTGATCATTTCTATTGATACTATGTTTTTCCCTTATGTTTTGTTTATTTTAGCATTGAATTTTTGTGATTTACTAAAAGACATACCTTCAACAAGTGTATATCTTATGCTATTAGGGCTTTAAAAAATAAAGTTTATTCACTAAAATTTAAAAATAGAGGGTTTTGCAAGGCAGGGCTGGGACTAGGCAGAGTTTGGATTGGGTTAAATTTTAGAGTGTTTTAGATTGTGTGCCCTACAAGGTGTCAACCTTGAAGGAAGCTGTTAGGCTTCATATGTCAGCAGTTTTAGTTGGTTTCCTGTCTTCTATTCTTAGAGGAAGTATATCCTGCAGCACATAGCAAGATTATTTTGTTTGATCTCAGTGTTTTTTTTTTTAACACAGGGACAGGAAATCTGTCTCACTTCTTGATGGATTTCACCAGGTCTTTACTGAGGCAGCATCTTCAGGAAGGTCATAGCTCTAAATCTTATTGAAAAGCACTGGCAGCTGTAGATCATGCTATGGCAACTTTAAGTAACTTTAAAGAATGTTGGCCCGGGGAGTGCCAGGAACTATTGAGAGGAAGACTGTGATCCTCTGCCACATTGAATGGCAGTCGATCGACCTCTGTCCTTTGAGTTATCTAGATTGGTGATGGTGGTTTCCTGCGTTAGCTCAGGCTCCTAGAAAGACTTTGAGTCTTCTACTAAAATGAAGTGAAACAGACTTTGAAAGACTGGTACTCTGAAGAGCTACCTAATGGTACTGGAAATAAAATGCTGGGAGTCAGGCTTTCTTTTTCTTGATCATCATCTTTATTTGAACCAGCTTCAGAACATACTATGTTGGTTTCAGGACACCTAGGGTCCACAGTCTTGCAGTAGAAAGGAGTACTTAATATAACCAGTCATCAACAATTTTAAAAGATAGTATACTGAGAGTTGCCAGGTATAGTGGCATCGGCCTGTAGTCTCAGCTTCTTAGGAGGCTGTCAGGAGGATCGCTTGACCTCAGGAATTCAAGATCAGCCAGGGCAACATAGCAAGACTCTCATCTCAACAAACAAAGACAATAGAATGACCTCATGACTAAATAGATGTTAGCAAACCTCTAACAGGTGAACTCTAGTTAGACAATTTTAACCATCGTCTTTTGTTTTTTTGGTGTTGCAACTTAACCCCAGGGTTCTGCCTCAGAAAATTGTACTTACCATTCCCTTTCTAAGGCAGTCTTTCTACTCCTTCTAAGTAAGAAACTGCAGAGCAATCCTAAATTCATATTTAGCATAAAGACCCATGGGCTAAACCCCAGTCCAAGAACCACATTCCTTGTAAACACACAGAGAATCATTTGCTAGTCTGGAGTCTTTCTGTTTACTGTTTAAGGCATGTGATAGCTTACTGAGTGTCACATTTGCTACATTGGAAGACAACAACAACAAAAACCTTACACATAATCAGTGCAGAGTGTTCAATTTGCATTTCCATGACCAAATAAATACTCTTTTCAATGTGTTTGTTGTTTGGTGTTTTGTTTCTTTTAAAACTATATTCATTTGTCTGACACTAGAGTAATTCCTAAGCCAATTCAATATTCAGGGTCTAGGTGTTATACTAGAGTCTGTAACTGGCTAATTGACAGAAAAAAACTACTTGGTGATTCCTTTGCATAGCTGTTTGCTCAGAGGAACGTGTATTTTTTATTCTGTTTTCAAGGAGAAGGTCATTTGCCGGGCCTGTGGCACAGGGAATCCTGCTCACCTGAAATACTGTGTCACCTGTGAGGGGGCCCTGCCTTCATCACAAGAGGTAGGTTGACTATGTCATCAATGTTCAGATAATAGAGAATTCTAATCTGTGGGGTTGGAGAGAGAGGTCACAAAAAGCTTCTCAAGGTAAACTGAAGGCAGCATTTCAATATTTGGAGAAGACTTTATATATCCGTTGATACAAAATTGCTTTCAAAGTCTTCACTTAAAGAAAATTCAGTAAAATGGACAATTTCTTACAACTTTGTTTAATAACTTTGCATGGGAGCCTGGCAATAGCTTGAGGAAAGTAGCCCACTCACATGTCATGCACAGACAGTTATTCCTTTGTTTTGCCTCTTTTCTTCCCTGTGGTCCAAAATGTCTTTGTTGACTGTGAATGTGTTTTGAAACAGATCACTGTAGCCTCCCATTTCATAGGTTTCCTGCCTGTGTGCTTTGAGTGTTGAAATGAAAGAATAGGTATTTATGTAATTTAAATACAGTGAGTGGGTTCAATTTAGATCACTTATTTTATGTTTATAAAATGTTTCTGATGAAATTTAAATTTATTCTCCTCTAAGTAGAATCAGAGTTTTAGAAAATTGCTTTCCTGTGACTCTTGCTGTGGCCTGACAGAACCCAAAAGAAGTTGGCTTTTAGCTGGGCTCGGTGTCTCAGCCTGTAATCCTGTGCCTTTGGGAGGCTGAGGTGAGTGGATTGCCTGAGCCCATGGGTTTGAGACCCGCCTGAGCAACTTGGCGAGACCTCATCTCTACAATAAATCAAAAAATCAGCCAGGCATGGTAGCGCATGCCTGTAATTCTGGCTACTCAGAAGGTTGAGGCAGCAGGATCATCGGAGCCCAGCAGGTCGAGGCTGCGGTGGCTGGGAGTGGCCACTGCACTCCAGTCTTGGCGACAGAGTGAGACTTCAACTCAAAAAAAAAAAAAAAAGAAGTTGGCTTTTGCTAACCAACTTTGAAAAAAAAACCCAGAAAACAAAAAACACTTTGTTTCTTTCGGCTACTGTATGTATTTTTGACTATTTGTGGTGTTTTTTCCTGTCTCAGACATTCCTCAGGAAACAGGACAACGTGATGATTAGTGTGGTCAACATGGTTAGTACCAAGTGAGAGTGTGTTTATTTCCTAGGACTGCAGAAGCAAGGGACCACAACCCGGTGTCTAAAATCATCAGACATTTATTGTCTCACAGTTCTGGAGGCCAGGAGTCTAAACTCAAGGTGTTGGCAGGGCCATGCCCCCTTTGGAGGTGCTGGGAACCACTGTGCTATACCTCCATCTCAGCTTCTGGTAGCCTCCAGCTTCCCTTGGCTTCTAGATGCATACAGTGTATCCCTCCAATCTCTGCCTTTGTCGCCCTGTGATGTTCTTTCTGTGTGTTTAAGGTTATGTCCAATCACTGACAGTCTAAGAGTAGTTGATTTGAAAGAACTCTTTTTGTTCCTAGTTTTATGGAGCTATAATGTATTTGCAATAAAATTCAATTACCTATTTTAATTGTACAGTTTGATGAATGTTGGTAACTATAAATAGCCATTGTAGCCACTACGACAATGAAGACATCAAACAGCCCCATTTATGCTAAAAAGTTTTCTCTTCTTCATAATTGAAGTCTTCCTTTTATCACTTGTTTTATTTTTTGTGTATTTAATTTTCTTCACTTAGCAGAATGTTTTTGAGGTTAATTCATATTGTTGCATGCATTAGTTTTTGGTGTTTTTTTTTTAGTTGGAGTCTCACTCTATCGCCCAGGCTGGAGTGCAGTGGCATGCTCACGGCCACCACAGCCTCGACCTGCTGGGCTCAAGTGATCCGTCCACTCTAGCCTTCCAAGTAGCTGGAACTACAGGCATGCGCCACCATGCCCAGCTATTTTTTTTTAATTTATTGTAGAGATGAGATCTCCCTAAGTTGTCCAGGCTGGTCTCGAGCCCATGAACTCAGACAGTCTTCTCTCTGCCTCTCAAAGCGCTGGGATTATAGGCATGAGCCATTGCACCTGGCCTAATTTTTTATTTTAATTGTTAAGTGGAATTCCTCAGTATGAATATACCACTACTGATCGGTTCATCGCTATTATCAAGTAGGCAAAAGATATCAAGTGTTGGTGAGGGTGTGGAGAAAAGGAGACCCTTGCATATTGTTGGTGGTAATGTATTAATAAAGGCATTGTGGAAAACAGTATAGAGTTTCCTCAAAAAATTGGAAATAGAGCCAGCAAATGATTTATCAATCCTACTACCGGGTATATATTCAAAAGAAAGGAAATCAGCAAATCAAAATGACATCTGCACTCTCATGTTTATTGCAGCACTTAAAACAAATTCAAGTGTCCATCAATCGATATATGGTTAAAGAAAATTTAGTATATATAATGGAATATTATTTAGCCTTTAAAAAAAGGGAAATCCTGACATCTGTGGCAATGTAGATTAACCTAAAAGACATTATGTGAAGTGAAATAAGCCAGGCACAGAATGACATACACCACATGACCTCACATATATGGAATGTAAAAACATTGAACTCATAGAAACCAGGAGTAAAATGGTGGTTACCAGAGGCTGAGGGGTAGGGGGACCGGAGAGGTGTTAAAGGACATGAAATTTCAGGTGGAGGAATACATTCAAGAGATTGATCATACATCATGGTGACTACAGTTAATAACAATATATCGTATATTTAGAAATTGCTAAAATAATACATTTTAAATGTTCTCACCACAAAAGATGATAAACGTATGGCAATGCATATGTTAAGTGGCTTGATTTTTTTTTTTTTTTTTTTTTTTTTTGAGTTGGAGTCTCACTGTTACCAAGACTGGAGTGCAGTGGCCGCTCCCGGCCACCGCAGCCTCGACTTGCTGGGCTCCAGCGATCCTGCCGCCTCAGCCTTCTGAGTAGCCGGAATTATAGGCATGCGCTACCATGCCCGGCTGATTTTTTGATTTATTGTAGAGATGAGGTCTCACTGCCCAGGCAGGTCTCGAACCCACGGGCTCAGGCAATCCACTCACCTCAGCCTCCCAAAGGCGTGGGATTACAGACTGAGCCACCGAGCCCGGCTTAAGTGGCTTGATTTGATCATTTCATAATATATATATCAAGGCATCATGTGCACCATTAAATATATGTTTTACTTGTTAATTAAAAAAATCTTCCCACAGAGGAAAAAAACCTACCAATATATTCTGGAATTGTTCATGTTTACCTCTAATCTGTCAGTTTAACATCATGTATTATGTTAGGCACACAAACATTTTTTGCTGTTTCGTTTCACTAGTGAATTTCACTTTTATTGTTATGAAATGTCCCTCTTCATCTCTGGTAATACACTTTTGTCCTGAAACCTATTTTATCAATTATTGATATAGCCACTCCAGTCATCTTATTTTTAAGGTTTAAATGGAATATTTCTTTCTATAGATTTACTTTCAGGTTATACAGCTGGGTCTTGTCTGTGGCTTGTATATAGATTTTTTTTTTCTTCTTCAAATCTATGTGACAATCTCTGTCTTTTAAGTAAATATTTAGCTCATCAAAGTTTAGTGTAGCTATTGATATGGTTGGAGGTTGAGGTAACTTTTTCTTATTTGATATATACTTTTCTCATCTGTTTAGTTTCTTTTGTTCTTACTTTCCTCCTTTTGGGGGTTCTTCAAATATTTTTTAGAATTCCATTTTAACTTCTCTTTTTTTAGCCTTTAGCCATATTTCTTGGCATTATTAAGTAGTTGCTCTAGTGACTATAATATACATCTTTAACTTTTCACAGTCTACTTAGTTATAATTGTACCACATCAGATAAAATATAGAAATCTTGTAACCACATATGTCCTTTTCCCTCTCCCCCACATCCTTCATGTTACAGTCATTTATATTACACTTCATGTGTTATAAACCCTATGAAAATGTTATAATTTCTGCTTTAAACAATTATATGGCTTATAAAGAAATTTAGAGGAAAAAGTAAAAATGTAGAATCTAGAAGTTTTTTTGTATTTGTACTAATATTTGCAATTTCTGATGTTCTTAACTCTTCTCTGAGGATCTGAGTTCCTCTGTAGTGTCATATCCCTTCATACAGAAGAATTCCCTCTATCATTTCTTACAATGTAGGTTTGCTGGCAGTGACTTCTCTTGGTTTTCTTTTATTTTAAAATGTCTTTATTTCACCCTTCTCAAAGAGTATTTTTGATAGATATATAATCATGGGTTGACAGTTTCTTTTAGAACTTTAAAGAGGTTCCATACTCATCTGGCACCCAGGCCTCTGCTTAGAAGTTAGATGTAAATCAAATTGACATTTTCATGTATATTATGTGTCAGTTTTCTCTTGCTGCTTTTAATATTTACTCTCTATTGTTGGTTTTCAGCAGTTTGGCCTCAATGTGAACTTCCCTGTAGTTAATCTGGTTGATATTCCTTGAGAATCTTGTAACTGTAAATTTCTGACTTTCATCAAATTTAGGAATTGTTCAACCATGATTTCTTTAAGTATTTTTCTACTCCACTCTCTACTCTTCTTCTGGGATTCATGTAACTTCTGTTGAATTGTTTGATATTCTCTAGTAGGTCACTGAGGTTCTGTTCATTTTTAATTCTTTTTTTCTCTCTTCACATTGCATGATTTCTGTTGTCATATCTTCAAGTTTTCTTACTCTTTCTACCATCTCCTTTGTAAGGTCAAAATCTTGGTGGGACCTCCAAAAATGTTAAGTTAAAACTCCTAATAGGATCTCTAAAATGTTATGTCAGGCCTGATGGGAGATAGTGTCTGATCTGCGATCTGGTGCTGTGTGAAAGATGCAAAGAATTGCACATAAGTTAGACTAGAAAATATAGTTTATTTAGAATGTAAATTAGAGAGAAAGAGGAAGATTCATCTCCCCAAGGTAGAGGAGTGGGCCAAAGCTAGGAAACATGGAGGCCATAGCTCAAAGAGCCACCTGGATATACCAGAGTTTAACAAAGAATTGACTAGAAAATAAGTTAGAGAGAGAGAGAGGAGATTTACCTCCCCAAGATAGGGGAGGGGGCCAAAGCTTAGGAAAGCATGACCTGGCCGTAATTCAAAGAACACATGACCTGGCTAGTGCTTAACAAAACGATGGCAAATACTGTTTGAAGTTGAATGCCTTTTAAACCTTCCCTTTGATGGGAGCAGGTCATTAAGGTGATTCGATGGTGGTCTGCTCCATGGCATCATGAAGGAGACAGGCAAGCAACAGGTATTGATGTCAGGTGATGGACAGCAGGCAGATGGTGGGTCAGTCACATAACTATTGCCATGTTGATAGGGTCTGTGTCATAAGGAGCTAATTAAGTTAATGGGTCTATGGTGGAGGCAAATGCTTGAAATAGAAAAGCTAATTAGTACAAAACAAGCTGGGGAGGGGTTATATAGCAATTATCAATAGCTACTTCTGAGAAACCAGTTTTGTCCTTGGCTAATAATGATTAGAGGGTAACATTAAAGTGAACTGCTAGAAAAACACGACAAAACTAAGCAATGTTAAAATGGCTGCTCATTGGGCATATTGACTCCATGTTATGTCCTTATATTTTTATTTGTACCTGGGAACTGGGATGAAGGTCAGTCTACTGTAACTGCTTACTGCTGGATGGGGAGTAGAGAGGTCCCTACCTGTCTAGAGTAAGAGGAGGGGATGATAGATTCAGGTTGGAAAAGAGGCAAGTGAGAGAGAGTGAGAGTATTACATGTCTCAGTGGAACCTCCAAAAATGTACCAGAATCTCAGTGGGACCTCCAAAAATGTTAGATTAAAAATCCCAGCAGAGCCTCCAAAATGTTAGGTCAGACCTATTGAGGGTTGTGCAATCCAGTGTAGCGTGAAAGATGCAAAGAATTGCACAAAAGTTAGATTGAAAAGTGTAGTTTATTGCAAAGAAAATTAGAAAGAGAGAGAGAGAGGAGAATTACTTCCCCAAGGCAGGGGAGAGGGCCAAAGCTAAGAAACATGGCAGTCATAGCTCAAAGAGCCACATGGACACACCAGAGTTTGACAAAGCAATGATGACTGCCTGTTTGAAGTTGAATGCCTTTTAAACCTTCCCATTTTATGGGGGCAGGTTGTTAAGGTGATTGGGTGGCAGTCTGTTCCACATCATCATGGAGGGCAGGTACTGATGTCAGATGAAGGATAGCAGCAGATGGGTGGGTCAGTGACACGACTGCTTCCATGTTGATGGGGTCTGCTATGAAGGTCATGAAGGACTGATTAGGTTAATTTATTTATAAAACAAGCTGGGGAGGGGATTGTAAAGCAATTATCAATAACTACCTCTGAGAAACTGGTTCTGTCCTTGGCTAATGGTTAGAGAATAAATTAAAGTGAACTGTTAGAAAAACATGACAGATCTAGGCAATGTTAAAATGGCTGCTCCTTGCATATATTGGCTCCATCTTATGTACTTTCATCCTTTTAGCTATTAAGTTCTTCCAGTAAATATTTTATTTCAAATATTATTTGAAAATATTAAAATAAAATATTAAAAATATTTTATTAAAAAATTGTCTGTTCCAGAATTTTCACTTTTTTTCTCTTTTATTGTTTTTATTTCTTTGCTGAGGGCACCTATCTATTTATTTACTGTGGACAGAATGTGTGCTTTAAAATTTTATTTTGTTAGTTCTAACATCTAATTCATCCTAAGGTCAAACTCAGTTGATTTTTTTCTTTTCCTTTCTTTTTTTTTTTTTTTGAGTTGGAATCTCACTCTGTCTCCCAGGCTGGAGTGCAGTGACACACTCACGGCCACTCCAGCATCAACCTGGTGGACTCCGGTGGTCCTTCTGCCTCAGCCTTCAAAGTAGCTGGTACTACAGGTGCATGCTTCCACGCTTGACTAATTTTTTATTTATTGTCGAGACGAAGTCTTGCCAAATTGCCCGGGCTGGTCTCAAACCCACAGGCTCAGGCAATCCACTTGCCTTGGCCTCCCAAAGTGCTGGAATTACAGGCGGAGCCACCAAGCCCAGCTGTTTTTTTTTTTCTTTCTTTTGAGAATCATTAGTTCTAGTTTCTTCCAGGCAATGTACCTCAAGTCAAGCATATATATTATTACCTGCTAAAACAAAGTAAATATACAAACAAAAATAACAAAATCCTGGAGAGACTAGTAAGAGAATCCAGAAATCCCACTGCCTAACATTCATAATGCTAAGATATAATTTAAAATTCCTCAACATACTAAACACCAAGAAAGTGGGGAGGAGGAACAGAAAGTTGGATTCCATTGCTTATCTTTAGCTGAGCTCCTTTGAGCCTGTTCTGTACATGTGTTGTTCAATGGTCAGTAAGAGATGTGAGTACACAGAACCTGAGGATCCCCTCCTGTCTCTTCTTTCTGGGAGCTTCCTTCCTCATAAGCACCAGATATTCCTCAGCTTCAGTTTTCTGGTTCTTTTGTCCAGAAGTACTGCCTTCTTCCCACCACTTCATAAGAACTTTGTGGATTGCCCTTAGCCATGGGCAATGACACTGGAGACTAATTTTGTAAAGATCCCCTCCTCATATGTTTTTGCTGCAAGAGTCTGCCTGCTTCTGTTCATTCTCTACTATATTCACATATTATGAGCAGATTTTATAGTTGTTTCTGTGTGGGAGTCATTCGGTGTGGGGTCTTACTCCCCATTACCAGGCGGAAAAATATGTAGGTTTTAAGAAGCTGATTTCTGTTACATAATATGTGTTTCTTTTTCAGAACTGAGAAAGACCAAAAACATATTAATGAGGTAGTGAATTTAATCAGGAAATAGCCGGGTTCAGTGGCTCAGCCTGTAATCCCAGCACTTTGGGAGGCTGAGGCCCAGCATCCACTGAAACACCAGGGAGGAGATCCCTCTCTGTAGACACCCTCATTTCTGTGCAATTAGAGGGAGGCACCTTAAGGGAGTGTCAAAGGAGCACTTCTTTGCAAACTTTTGCTTCAGACCTTACCTTCAAATGACCCTACTCTTAAAACAGGATTTTGATATAAAACTTGCTGACTTAAGTTTCTAAATACAAAGTTAATATAACATTCCCTTAAAAAGAGAAAGGTTATCTTTCTGGTAGACTTGCTGATTTTAAAAAAAGAGAAACAAAAGTTGTCTTACCCCATCATATTAATGCTGCTAAACAAAGGAAAGATATAAAGCTTTCAGAATGAACATGCGCTCTTACTTCTACAGACTTCAGTGATAAATATTATCATTGTGATATCTAAAGTGGGATTTACCATTCAGATAGAAATACAGTTTTAGAATAAATTCAATTTTGGAATTGTTCCTAAAATGGTTTTGTTGACAGATGAGACCCAGAAACAATTACATCACTGACAGTTGATAAAATCAATTTAAATAGTTTTGCTATTTCCATAAGAAGTACAGAATGTCTGAGAAAGGATGTCTGAGAAAATAGCAGATGTGGCCTCTTCAGATGGGTTTTTGTTTTAGGATAACAGAGCAGGCCCTAAAGCAAAACAGGATACAGTTGGACAAATAAAGTTAACTAAAATGTTCATCTTTGAAGGAGCACTGTCCTTAGCAAATGTTTTTCCTAGTGTGTTTGCATTCATAGTATTATATGTGGAATATTGAGCAATACCCACTTTCAGTTAATCAACTGAATCATTGACTCAGTAAAACTATTTGAACAGCTCTTATTTGCCAAGGTACCAAGTACTGTCCTAGTGAGGAAAAAAGTATGAAGTTATAGTCCTTCCCCTCAAGGAAATCAGTATCTAGTGTTAAGTGAGTAGGGAAGGAGGGAAGCTGCTCCGTGGTGCTTGACCCTATGCTAAGCATTTCTATACACTGGATTGTCACTGATTGTCAGAAATCCCCCACAGGCCCGTGAGAAGCTGTTGTATTGAAAGGACTGTGTGGAGTCATGGAGAAAAGTCAGGCTGTAGAGTCAGATGCCTCTAAATCACTCAGTGCCTCAGTTTCTCCCCTCTGTAAAACAAGGATGATGATGGCACCCACCTATGGATTGCAGTGAGGGTGTGGGGCAGTGCTGCACATAGTAGATGATCAGGCAGAAGTCACCATGACCGACATTCCCATGTGGAAAACGAAACAAATCTCACTAGGCAAGCGTGAGCATGTAGCAGGAATAAAGATGTTAATCTGGGTCTACCTATCTGAAAGTCTCAGAAATTCTCACAAAGCAATTCTGCCTCCCTCCCCAAAATAAAACAATCTTGTCTTATGTTAGGAGTTGAAATAAATATACATTTCTATACAGGAACCATTTGGAAACTAGAACCCCAAAGGATAAGGGATAAGCCTCAATAATGACAGGTTAGGTAACTCAGCGCTCTTTAAAACTTTGTTTATTGGTACTGTTCTATTAAATCAACATAGGCTTGCTGCCTTTGACATTAAGGATACTGCAGAATATCATGATGTGCAAGTTTCACTGACTTCCTTTGATCTCTGGGAAGGAACATGTCCTCTAATAATTGGTGAAGCCCATCATAGTTTTACTCCTTTGAGAAAAAAAAAATATTGTATTTCCAGGGCTTGCATTGTTTGGGAACTTTTAACCTTTTCTGGATTGGGAGGGGGATTGGAGAATACGGTACTGATCCTGCTTATAAATGCCGCTTTGTTTGCCAGCCGATGTGCAGTGGAAATAAATCCCCTCCTCTGTCCACTGGAAAGAAAGGGAGCATTTCCTGCTCTGAGTGTGGTCGCCTGAACCCCTGGGAGGCATCCTTCTGTGCCTGGTGTGGAGCTATGGTGGGTATTTGAAGACCAAACTTTTTTCTACTGAGCACCTCACCACCAGCCTAGGGAAGGCCAGGACTTTCTCCCACAGGCTTGCAGATATCACTTCTTGAGATTTTATTTACCTAAGAATCTGAAGGAAGAGATAATTAATTCTCTTACACTGAGAACTGTCTCTCATTGCTGTTTTGATTGACATTTCTTGGAGATTAAACCTTTTCACTAATTTATTACTTACTGGCATTTCTCCTTTTATGAACTGCATCTGCCTACCTTTTAAATAAAATATTCAAAATTATTTGCATATTTATTTATAAGAGTAAGTATTGCATGCAAATAATAAAAAGGGTTTAGAGTGAAGGGTTAGTTTCGATTCTCATCTCAGTCCCACAGTTCACCTCCCTATAAGCAATCTCTCATACCCATTTCCTGAGATATTCCTTCAGCTATCCAAAGCATTTCTAAGCAAACTGGTGCTTACTGTGAACGCTTATTCAGTTATTTTCACCTAGCAATATATGAAGTCAATGACCTCCTCATTCTTTTCTTTTTTTTTTTTTTTTGAGTTGGAGTCTCACTCTGTCGCCCAGACTAGAGTGCAGTGGCCGCTCCCGGCCACCACAGCCTCCACCTGCTGGGCTTCAGTGATCCTTCCGCCTCAGCCTTGAAGTAGCCGGAATTACAGGCATGTGCTACCACGCCCGGCTGATTTTTTGATTTATTGTAGAGATGAGGTCTTGCTGCCTAGGTGGGTCTCGAACCCGCCAGCTCAGACAATCCACTCACCTCAGCCTCCCAAAGGTGTGGGATTACAGGCTGAGCCACCAAGCCCGGCTCTCCTCATTCTTTTCAGTGGCTTCTTAATATTTCATTGTATGTACATTCTAGGATATATTTAAACCGCCCCTATTGCTGGACATTTAGGTTGTTTCCAGTGATTTCTTCTAAAACCACAGTGCTACAGGGGATGCCCTGGAGTATACTTCTTTGTATACTTGTCCATCTGCCGGATGAATTCTAAAAGATAGACTTGCTGGGTCAGAGGGTACGGGCATATATTATTTTGATGGCTAGAGATTGTGTGGTATGAGAATAATTGACATTGGATCATCTTAACTCTAATATTCATTAAAAAATGTTTTCTACCCTCTAGCTTGGCATTTCTGCTGGTTTCTCTCTTTGTCCTAAATGTGGAGCCAGCAATCACCTGTCTGCCCGATTCTGTGGTTCCTGTGGTATTTATGTGAAGTCCTTAGCAAGACTTAGCTGGGACAGCAGCCTGGCTCTCGTTGCTGGGGAACGCCACCCTTTTCCTGAGGTGAGGCCTGCTCTGTAGAACTGATGCCCAGGAAGAAGATGTAACTCTGAAATTGTGTACTTTGCCCTATGAAGCAACCTAGAGGAAGAAACCCAAAACTTTTAGGCCTTTTATGTGGACTTTCAATTAGGTCTGTAAATAAATCCAACAATTAAGGTTTTAAACATGCAGATGATTTCTTCAGAAATCAAAGATCTGTAGTAGATTGTCTGTAGTAGATTGAGGTCTAATTGCAGTGGCAAGACAGTGGACAGAATGCCAGCAGAGAGAAGTGGATTTAAAAGCTAGTAAGTCCCCGACATGTAAATCTTCAAGTTATGAACTTTTAACGATGCACACCTGCATTTTTAAAATGTATTATTTCTTTCCACCAGGTGTCAGTATAGTCCATTAAATACATACAGTAGCATATAGCCAATTGTGTTAGTTGGGTTGGGTACCTAGGCTAACTTTGTTGGACTTTAGACAAACTGGACTTACAGACATGCTCTTGGAACCAAACTCGTGTGTATGTTGGGGATTTCATGTACATGAGGTAGGATATGCTTCTCTTCTCTTGAATGTCTTATGTGGCATTCTGTAGACATTTCCCACTGCTCTTTTATATTGTAGAAAACTTGTATCAGGTCTCTACATTTACTTCTGCCATCTATGTGTTTAGAGGTGGTTAAGCTCTAACAACTGACTTGGTGTTAGCACTTTATGAATTTCTCTAAGGTACATCAAGACTTTCCAGGTTTCCTCTTATTTCTTCATTATGAGAGTTTGGAGAGATAATGATGAAAGAGAATACACATGCACTCAGCGCTTTGCATACAGTTTTAGAGAGTTCATGGTGGAAATCAGATCCTGGGACTGCCACCAGCCTATCTGATATCTTTGTGCAACTGAAGCAAAGGTGTTCTTTTCTCAAGATATTTAGCTGCCATCTGTTGAAAATTGATTGTAGTCTCTTCCCTCTACCAGAAAAATTGTCCTAATAATATGTAAATATATTCTGTCCACCATATGAATGGCACTGTTCTAGATGCAGTGATGTTGTGCAGTACACAACCTATACAATCGTTCATGGTGGTCTTCTCAGGTCCTCAGGTCCAGATACAGAAGAGCATGTTTGAGAAAATGGTGGTGCTCAGAAGAGTGTGGATGCGTAGTGAAGTCTATGCCCCACTGGATTGTAGAGCTGAGAGGATAAATATCTTCCTGGCCTCAGGCCTGGAAGCATCCGTTGATTTACTGAACTGAGCCCATAGCTAGTGGAGGGGATGAAGCTTTATGGATCAGTCTGGGAATTGATGGGAGAGACATACGCAAGGAAGATGAGGCGAGGGCTAGAAACCTCTTTTCATCCTGAGTACAGTTATTTTTTAAAAAAAATACCTTTCATTCTCATTAGAATTTTTTTCTATGAATAAAATGGAGGATTAATTAAATTATCATCTAATTTTAAAAATATTTTCTGGCTCACTCCCAGCCCCGATCTGCCTGGCAGTCCCTAAACATTCCTTTGCCCAAATCTGATGCTGGAACAAAGAAGGATGTAGGCACACAGACCACTGGCCTATTCTACCCATCCGGCAGGCTGCTGGAGAAGAAGGAGCTGGAAGTGACTTCTCAGAAGCAGAGGCAGGAGAAGCTGCGTGACCACAGACCCCTCCTCACAGCCATCAGCCCAGGGAGAGGTGAGCAGTCATGAGGGAGCTTGCGCTTGCTCTGAAAGTTAGCCTTTCTTTTTGCTTTTGGATTGATTTTATGTATAAGAAGTATGTTCCTTTATTTTTCTTCTTTCATGTAGTTTTCTTTGTATGAAAAAAACAGCTCTTCCTTAAGCTTTAGTTCTCACATGCTGGTGTCTAGCTTCTCGATCAAATGGTACATGTGGGCTTCTTGGGACACAAGAGCTTCTACCATAGTGGCCACACTGTTGCTGAGCTTCGTGATTGCCATCAGTCATGATTTCTTTTTTATTGTGACAAAATTCACATAACTTAAAATTAGCCCTTTTGACTGTGTTAAAGCATATATTTCAGTGGTATTTAGTACACTGACAACTATCACCACTCTATTTACAGAACATCTTCATCACCCCCAACTTAACACCACGCATGTACTCCCTGAGTGTGACTCCCCATGCCCCTTCTCCCAAGCACCTGAAAACCACTAAGCTACAATTTGTCTTTATGGGTTTGCCTATTCTGGACATTTCATATACATGAAGTATATAGTGTATGGTCTTGTGCCTGGCTTCTTTCACTTAATATAATGTTTTCAAGTTTCATCCATGTTGTAGCTGTAGCATATTTCTTTTTGGGGGGGCAGGGTCGAAGTCTCACTCTGTCACCCAGGCTGACTGCAGTGGCATACTCATGGCCACCACAGCCTCAATCTGTTGGGCTCAGACGATCCTTCTGCCTCAGTCTTCCAAGTAGCTGGAACTATAGGCATACGCCACCATGCCTAATTTTTCTTGATTTATTGTAGAGACCAGGTCTCGCCAAGTTTTACAGGCTGGCCTTGAACCTCTGGGCTCAGACAATCCTCTTGATTCAGCCTCCCAAAGTGCTGGGATGGCAGGTATTAGCCACCACCCCTGACCAGTATGTTTCAATATTGTTTGTTTTTTATTTTTTTATTTGGGGTCTCACTCTGTCACCCAAGCTGCACTGCAGTGGCACCATCACAGCTCACTGCAGCCTCAACCTCCTGGGCTTAGGCAGTCTTCCCACCTTAGCCACCCCAATAGCTGAGACTAGAGGTGTGTGCCACCACGCCCAGCTAATGTTTTTATTTTTATTTTTGAAGACAAGGTCTCACTATGTTGCCTAGGCTGGTCTTAAACTCCTAGGCTCAAGCAATCCTCCTGCCTTGGCCTTCCAAAGAGCTGGGATTATAGGCATGAGCCATTATGCCTGACCTGATTTACCTAATTTTTTAGCATATAGTTGTTCATTATATTCTTTTGTAATCCTTTTTATTTCAATAAAGTTGGTGGTAATATCTTTTATTTCATTCTGATTCTAGTAACTTGAAACATCATTCTCTTACTCCCTTTTTTTTTTTTTTTACTGTTGGTCAGTCTAACTAAAGGTTTGTTAATTTTGTTGATCTTTTCCAAGAATCAGTGTTTGGTTTTGTTGATACAATTTTATATTGTTTTACTGTTCTGTATTTCATTACATTTCACTCTAATTTCATTCATTCTTTCTTTCTTGCTTTAGGTTGAGTTGCTCTTCCTTCCTAGTTTCTTTAGACCAAAGGTGAGGGTGTGGATTTTGCTGTGACCAGTAGGAAGTGACTGAAGAGATGAAAGCTTCCATTTACTCTCTAGGAAGCCAGCAGTGTGTCAAGAGGTTCAGTATAGATTACTGAATGAGGAGAGTTGCCACATGGAGGAAAACAGAGGCACCCCAGCCAGAAACCAACCCAAAGATGCCAAACACTTGAGTGAGTGCAGACAGCACCCCTGGGAAGGAAGATGCCCAGCCAGCCCCCAGTGGTTTGTGCCATCTTAGCTGAGGCCTCAGCCTTGTGGATGAGATCATCTTGGATCCCTGGGCCCCAGTTGAGATGGCTCAATTGACACCAGGTAGAGCACAGATGAACCATCCTTGCAGAGCACTGGCCACACTCTTGACCCACAGAAGTATGAGTAATAAGGTGGTTGATGTTTTAAACTACTAAGTTCTGGGGTGTTTTGTTTGACAAATGGATAATAGAAACAGGTTTTCAGTTTCCTACAGCAGAAGACAATCTCCTGGAACTACTTCTTTTTTCCTGTGCTAGAAGGGGGCCAACTTCACCTATCTATGAAGGACTCACAGTCTTATAATGACCCTTTCAAAGGATTTCCCTTGCAAAGTCCTTTCTCGGTGATTTTTTGAGTTGAGATTTGATCTTGTAATTGTAAATCTATTGTATTGTAGATTCTCAGTCAGAACCTCATTTTTAACATATTGCTAGATTCATATTATTTATTTGTATATTATCTGTGCCTACTAGAATTTAATAACATCAGGGACAGGAACTTTGTTCACACCTATATCCCAGCCCTAGAGTAGTGTATGACAAATATAGGGGCTCAATTAGTATTGTGAATGAACTATTGCTCACTTCCAGACAGGGTCAGCTCAGTATGACCTCTAGAATTTCTCCAGTTGCTCACAGCAGACTCTTGTGATGCTCTTCACCAGATCTCCTCAGCCCGCCTGATTTCCATGCAGTGGTGGTGGTTGCTTCCACATGCGTTTGCACATGCATTTGCTCATCAGCTGTGCCATCATCTGTCTCAACTTTGCTGCCGCTGATTCACCCCAGAACAGCAGAAGGCTGCCTGTCCATGGCTGGTGTGGTGTAGAAGTGTTGGGGACTTGGCCCTGCTGGTTCTTCCCTCACATACGGGAAAGGGGCTGGAGAGCAGGCCCCCCTGTCTCTCTGTCCTCGTGTTCCATGTGATTTCCCATAGGTCCCCATCAGATCATGCCACAGCCACCCACAGCATTAACCAGTTCTTAACACATTCCCTGCCTTGCTCTTTCTACTCTATCACTTGTGCATCCCAGGATCCCTTTCCAAAGAAGCCATTGGTCCTGAGTCTTTTCTCAGGCTCTGCTTTTGGGGGAACTCAAACTAAGATACTTAGGTTCTCTTATTTAATGTTACAGTAATGCATGAGGAAGGAGGTATTGGTTCCATTTTATTAAGTAAGGAAAGTAAGGTTTGGAGAGATTTGGGTATCTGACTCAAGGTCACTAAGTTAATAAATTGTAGATTTAGGATTTAAATACAGGCTTGTCTAAACTCCACCTCACGTGCTTTTGACTAAGCCATGCTGAGTTACCTTGGAAAGACCACCTGATTGCTCTCAGCTTGGTGTCCTCCTTGGTACAATGATGAGGTGGATTCCAGTGTGGGTTTGCAAACTCAAGTGGCCATAGGGAAGAGCATGGAAGTAAAGGCAGACAGCTGGTCCTGCAAGGCTGTGGCTGGCTGGAGGGTCCATACCTTGTCCAAAGCAGTTGACTGTTCCTCGGCCCCAGGCACAGAGCTTGTGTGAGAAGGCCCCCAGTGCTGCCGCCCTCTCCCTGCCTGTGGGAAACCAGGCATCCAGACTCAGGTGAAGCCTTCCATGTTATAAACGATGGTAACTCATTGAAATGTGATTAAAATTCTGTGCAGACTGGAGAGGGCCCCAGGGAACATTTTGGAGTGACAGAAATCTACATGTTGACTGGGATGTATACATTTGCTGAAATTCAAACTGTACGTTTAAAATATTATGTAAATTATATGTGGGATAGAATCATAGGAAAAGAAAAGACCCCACATATGGCAACCAAAATATATTCTTTTGAGAATCTATTGTGTTCTATGATTAATCCCTTGTAACGAGAAGCTCGGGGGTGAGGGAAATGGAACTTATGGCAGAGCAGAATGGAAGATCAGTCAGGAAAATCCATCACAATGTTTGGCAAAGGAAAACAACCTCTCTGTGAATGTAATTTTCTTTCTTAGCCTCAGAAGAATTATCCAGACAGCCGTGTTTCTCTTTTTTTAGGATACTGGAGAAAACAACTGGATCACATCTCTGCCCACCTCAGGTCTTATGCTCAGAACAACCCAGAATTCCGGGCCTTGATTGCAGAACCCAGGATGGGAAAGGTGGGTGAGATGAAGCTTCTACTCCAGAAGTGTCCACGGGACCAGGCTGAAGATGCCGTCCATTGATGTTGCTCGAATTCATGCCTCGCCTGGCTCCCTTCCCTCCCTGCTCTGTTTTCCATACTTCCTTACTCTCCTCCCTGTGAGCTCCCCCTAAAAGTCACAGCACATGAGGGCCATCTCAGGGTCTGCTTCTGGCCCATCTGGCCTAAGACAGCAAGACTCTGAACACCTCACGCCTAGATGCTATGTGCTGTGGCGGTTCTGATGGTTGGAACAAAAAGACCCAGGACTGTTTAGCTCAGCTAAATTGTGCACTTAAATCATAACCAGTTAATACATAGCAACAGTCATCACAAGGGTCAACCCTCACCAGTGCACTCAGTCTCAGCATCATGTTCATCATTCTAGTCCTCATCACAAACCTATAAGTGTGAGTATTACTTCTATGACAAAAAAAAATGGCCATGGTCAGGTGCGGTGGCTCATGCCCATAGTCCCAGCACTCTTGGAGGCAGAGACAAGAGGATTTCCTGAGCCCAGGGGTCTGACACTTGCTGCGGCGGCATGACAAGACCTCATCTCTACAATAAATCAAAAAACTAGCCAGGCATGGTGACTCATGCCTGTAATCTCAGTGTAGCATGAAACTTCACAGAGAAAGTTGGGACACTGAGGCCAGGAAACAGCTTTATTTGTGTTGACACTGGCTCAACATATTTGCATCCAAAGGTGAGCCCCGAACACAGGGGGCATGCTCTTTTATACAATTAGAGCTTCCTTGTCCCCTGATAAGGTTTACTTATTAGTAACATACTGGTTAATTGGGTAATTTATAGCTCAAGTTTACAGCAGAGTTACACTTGTGTATTACAGAGTGGGGCCACTATCCTTTCTAATATGTATCATCCAAGAAAGTTTTTATCTTATGGTGCTAGAAGAACTCTTTCATTATCCTGGGAAGACTTTTATCTTACTGTACTACGAGGGGCGGGCTACTCTGTCCTGGGAAGGCCTTTATCTCATGAGACTTGGGGAAAGGGCTTCCTGCCTCATTCCCCCTTTGATGCTCGAATTCCTGTTTAGGGTCATAGTGTGGTTTAAGGGTTTTTACTTTTTTTTTTTTGAGTTGGAGTCTCACTCTGTCACCCAGCACCCAGGCCGCTCCCGTCCACTGCAGCCTCGATCTGCTGGGCTCCGGCGATCTTTCTGCCTCAGCCTTTCAAGTAGCTGGAACTACAGGTGCGCGCTACCATGCCCGGCTAATTTTTTGATTTAGTGTAGAGATGAGTTCTCACCAAGTTCCCAGGCGGGTCTCGAACCCATGGGCTCAGGCAAACTACTCACCTCAGTCTCCCAAAGCGCAGGATTACAGGCTGAGCCACCGAGCCCGGCTAGGGTTTTTACTTTTATAACAGTTTTATATGTGCTATTGTTGTTGCTGTTTTTTTAACCATGGCCTCAGTGAGACTGGAGACAGAACTTATAACTCAGGGAGCTAGACTGGGAAGGATTAGACAAATTTTTAATATCATGAGTACAATGCCTATGAGGGTTTTAAAGTTTTTAAAAGTTAAGAACCAACCTCCAAACAGTTTTTTTGGGTCTCAATCTTTTTAGGTTTCGACAGGGACATAGCAAGCTTTTTTATCCGATTGATGATATTTTTTTAATGATCTTTTTCAAATTATCTATTTGTAGCAGCAGTTGTTTAAGTTAAACTTTTTACAAACCCCACCTTTAGAAGCAAGCAAGTAATCTAAAGCTAAGTGGTTTTGATAAATGGCATTGTGCATTTTAGTTTGTTGTTTGGCCAATATGTTAAGGGTCTTTGTAGTTTTATTAGTTATAATTTTAACAATCACCTGTAATCGAGTTATGTGGTTTAGCATGTCAATGGGGGTCCTGATAGTCCCAAGATCCATTCTGCCCAAAGGAGATAAAGTTAACAATAACCTTTTACCATGCTGTCTGGAGAAATTGATGCCAAACCTGTAGTGAAACCCAAGGCAGAAATTACAGTCACAGACAATAGTAAGGGATGACACTATATTACATTAAAAACACGGTCCGTTTGTTTGTTTGATGGTTGATTTCTCAAGCTTCTGTCGTGTGTAAATTAGTCAGCTTCTGGAGTGACTAAAGCAGGGCGGCTGTAGTTCTCTAAGGTCCTGGGGTCATGGCTTGTTTTTGGGAGGAGTAAGTTTCCCAGGTGTTGATGGAGTAGCAGTGTACGTCCAGTGTCAGAAGGTCAGTTTTACTTTGCTGTGATGAATCCATGGGCCCATCTCAGCTATCTTTATTATAGTGGGATGGACAAAATAACAGTAAACGGACCTCTCCAAAGGGGCTTTAGGGACTGGATGTTTCTGTTTATTACCCATACATCATCTAGTTTAAAGGGATGAGCGTCCGTGGTTAAGTTCACAGGTAGCCGCTCTCTAACCCAATGATGTATAGCAGTGAGGGCTGAGCCTAGAGCCTGTATCTATTGTCTTGGAGTAAGATTACTCACCTCTTTTAAATTTCTTTTTATACATTTAACAATGGGGGGAGGATGCCTATAAAGAATTTTAAAAGGGGGAAACCCTATCTGTTTAGTGGGGCTAGACCTGATTTATAGCAAAGCGATTGGCAACAGCAGGTTCCACTGCAAGTGAGTTTTCTGACACTGTTTACTTAGTTCTAATTTCAGAGTCCGGTTTATCTGTTTTACTTTTTTGAAGCTCTGGGGGCAATAGGCAATGTGTAATTTTTATGTGATTCCTGAGCCCCTTACCACTGGTTGTATTACCTCAGCCACAAATGTCAGCCCATTATCTGATCCTATAGTGATTGGGATTTTGAATCGGGGTATGATTTTTTTTTAGAAGTAGTCATGCCACTTCATGTATCTTTTTGGTGTGGATAGGAAAGGCCTCTACCCAACCCAAGCAAGTACACACGAAAACTAACAGAGTTTTATAGTCTCAGGCCTGGGGAAGCTCAGTGAAGTCCATAATTATGTTTTTAAATGAGGCCCCTTTAACACTCTGTACTCCCAGAGAGATCTTAGGCCCCTGTCGTGAGTTATTTTGGGTACGTATTTTGCATTGTTTACGTACTCCATAGGCTATACTGGAGAGTTGCTGTGCATAGAAATGCGGGCCTAATGTAGTCTTGAAAGCTATCCGGTCTGTATGAGTTTTTTTGTTGTTTTTTTTTAATGAAAATGCTTGACAAAGTTTGGGCCAAAACCTCAGGGACATCTATTTGCCCATTTTTAAATTTTTACCATCCATCTATGAGATAATTTTCATTTTCAGTTTTGAGCCAAGTCTGTTTATGTTGTGAATAATTAGGGTCCCATTTTGTCAATGGACTTGGGAACAATGTAGCGGCCAAACTCATTGGCTCTGTTGTTCCTTGGAAGGCTGTGAGCTTTGCCTCCCTGTCCGCCTTTCTGTTTTCTTGAGTAACCATTGTGTCTCCCCTTTGGTGTCCCCAGTAATGTATGACTGTTACCTTTTTAGGGGCTCATACAGTATTTAAGAGTTTAGGATTTTTTTTTTACCATATTTTATGTCCTTGTCTCCTGAGTTGATTTAGCCCCTTTTCTTATACAAAGCTCCGTGAGCATGGAGAGTGGCAAAGGCATATTTAGAGTCAGTGTATATATTGACATTTATTTTTGTCAGTAGCTGGAGGGCTTGGGTGAGTGCAATTAATTTTGTTTTTTGTGTTGAAGTCCCTTTTTGCAGAGACTTTGTCTTGATGGTGGAGTGCAGGGTTACAAGAGAGTATCCTGCAAACTGTTTTTTCCCCCTATGAAGCTGTTGCCATTAGTGAAATATTTCACGTCGGCATCCCTGAGAGGCTGGTTTGTCAAGTCAGGTTTGCTTGAGAACACCTTGTCCGTGACCTCAATGTAATCGTGACAGGGCTGACCCGGCTCTGTAGGCAACAAGGTTGCAGGGTTGAGAGTCCTCACCACTTATAAGTGAATGCGTGGATTTTCACATAACATTTCCTGGTGTTTGACCATTTGAGCGTTAGTCAACCAGTATTGTCCTTTTTATTTCATTAATGTTAACACTGATTGTAGCACCCGGACTGTTAGTTTTTGTCCCGTAGTCAATTTGTCAGCTTCTATCACTAGAAGGGCCGTGGCAGCGAGTGTCCATAGGCAAGGCAGCCAGTCTCGAGCAACAGTGTCAAGTTGCTTGGAGAGGTATGTTACTGGGCGATGCCATGACCCTAGCATTTGGGTTAAGACCCCTACCCCCACTCTAGTACGTTTGTGTGTGTATAGGAAAAATGGCTTAGATATGTCCGGGAGTCCCAGGCTAGGTGTACTAATAAGGGCTTGTCTGATTTTCTCGAAGGCCTTTTGTTGTGCTTGTTTTTATAGCACAGGCTATTGTTTTCCCTCCTTTGTGGCTTTATAGAGAGGCTTTGTCAGCAGTGAAAAGTTAGGTATCCAAATTTTATAAAACCCTGTGGCCCCAAGAAATTCCCAAACCTGACATCTGGTAGTTGGAACTGGAATGGAGCAAACAGTTGTTTTTTTCTGGGGCGAGCTGATACCTCCCCTGGGATAAATGGAAGCCAGATATTTTACCTTTTTTAGGCAGATATGGGCCTTTTTTTTGAAACTTTGTAGCCAGCGTTTCATAGGAGGGTAAGGAGCTGCTGTATTTCTTTCATGCAGTCCTCCCGTGTTTGTGCAACCAGCAGCAGATCCCCCACATATTGGAGTAGCATACAGCCGTACTACTGATCTGCTGGGAAGGCCTTTAAGTCAGAGGCTAGTGCTGTACCAAAAATAACCGGGGAATTGTTGAAACCCTGAGGCAATCTAGTTCAAGTGATTGGCTTTTCCCATTGAAAAGCAAAAATCAGCTGACTTTGAGGAGCAAAGTAGATACAAAAGAAAGCATCTTTGAGGTCTAAACAGGTAAAGTAGGCGGCTTCAGTGGGGATAAGACAGGAGAGTGTAGGGGTTGGGGACAACTGGGTGC